AACGTATGTAACATATTGCAACATTTATTAGTTCCCTGTTGCCATAACAATTCGCCAGGAGCTGGACAATCCAATGACGACTGAATTGAAACATTTCCCTCATCGCCCATATACACATCTACTTAACATGAAAAACAGATTTTCTCTCCCGGCAACCACATTGGGGGTTTCAAAAGAGATTAGCAGGAAATTAAAACCGGCAAATGGTTTCAAATGACAAGAGATGATGGACGGAGGGAGGAACAAACAAAGATCAATATCTATGGCTTAATTACTTACAGCATCCTCTGTAACTAGGATACGAACTGGAAAAGAGAAAGCAGGAAGAGGCAAAAAACGAGACACAAAAGGGAGATTTCTGCATCGCTTTGATTCCTATTGTGTTGGGACCTCTTGAGTTTAAATGGGGCTTGTGATGACAGCCACTGGGGGTGAGAGAGGTGATGAACAAAACAAAGACGGACTTTCAATTGAGAGAAAAAATAGTAGCATTAAGCATGCCAAATTACTACATACCACCTTACGCAATACTTTAGGGACAAAATCAATTTTGGCCACAAATAGGCCATATAGGCAGCACTGGGATATACGTAAGTGCATGTCATAATGTAGCAGAGAGATGACTGTTTTAACTGGTGTTAAGGTGTTTAACAGCTAAACCATTAGCTTCCATGCTATCTCCATTCCATATACTATAACTTGATGGAGTCAAAATAATAAGTCCATAAACTCTGCCCTGACAACTCTACTACAATAAAAAATATACCAAAGCCGCAGGGTTCAAAGAACTAGAAAAATGTAGAAGCTTATAGTCCAGATATTATGGCCTGGGAGCTGCATCGCGTGTCCTTGGTCACTACAGCCTCAACCCTGCATCGTGTGGCCTCGGTCCTCGTTCTACAACCTGAGTCCTGAACCACGTGGCCTCTGTCCTCGTTCTAAAGCCTGAGTCTTGAACCACATGGCCTCGGTCCTCGTTGACTTGACGAATAAAAGCGAACGTGCCCTTAACTACATGTGTTGAATGGTTCTGAAAAATTCTAGCACTGGTGACAAATGTTATTGCATGTGGAATATTTAAGGCAAACAACAGCAACTCTATTTCGTTTTTGGGTCACAGCCAATCTAATAAAGTCCACATTTCAACAACAAAATCAAACAAGAAACAAGCCATATTTAAAATGTCATTGTGATGCCAGAATACCGCTAGAATCCCCATATGTGTTCTCCGTCTTGGTGTCATTTGAACATCACTGGAACATGAATTGAAAAGGGCAAAATGTCTGGTCTTTAGGGGACTGGGTTGGACGTATGAATAATTACAAAGATATTGACACAGACACCACTTTCATCATGTCGCCTGCTGCTTTTCTCGAGGTGCCAATGTTAATCTTTACTCCACTTTTCATTAGTTTTATTACCAAGCCTATGGTACTGAACCTTATCTCTGGCTCATTAATGCTGTCTTGCCACATTTCCAAGCCCTGTCTATTCATACCGGTAAACCTCATTACGAATGCACAGAGGACTCATCCAGAACATGTGTGAACGCAGGAATTTCAATATTACATAATCACAGAGCTAAAGAAATGACAGGGGCACATCCAAACGTCTCCTCGTGTGTGCTTAAGATTTGCAGAAATGAATGAAGATGGGAAAAGGTGTAAACTGTAGACTCGAATTTATGTAAAAGCACAAAGCCCTTTCGTTTAGACCACTATAAACAATAAATTCAGTTGGATGTGAATAAAATGAACACACGTGAACCTTCTACTAACACAAATGTAGTTTGTAATTCCTGCGGTGAGCCTGTACAATAAACAGTGAAGACACACCCTGTACATGTGCCATTCACATGTATTAATATGTGCAATAATGTGCAATACTGTAGTAATTGTCAGTCATTGCATCTGATAATTATATATTCTGTCCATATCCTAATGCCGCTAATACATACTGTAATATTTGCTATCCGTGTATTAATAATCTAAAATTGTATACTGTACATACCAAAGATGGAGAGATGTTTTTTGAACACTTGCACCAGTTAGACTTACCCCCACACCTGCCTGATTGGACGCAATTGCAAATCCTTGAAGACAGCTGAGGCTGCTCACCATTGGGATAACTATTCTCCTCTAGCAAATCTTTTGGTAATGGTTATGCCAATGGAAGGGACCGTAAATGATGCTACAGGGCATTTATTTATTCTTTTCAAAATAAAATTCACTTGAAGTTGCAAACATAACCTGCAATTCCTATGTTCTGTTCTGACAATGGGGGCGACAGTAGCTCAGTTGGTAGAGCAGTGGCCTTTGAGCCTGGAGGTGAGTGAGTTCGATTCCCACCATGGGACCTACTCCAACTGCTCCCACTGATGTCTGCTGTCGTTGTGTCCTTGGGCAAGACACTTAACCCCACGTTGCCTGAAGCCCCCGCTGAAAGACCAAGGCTGTTTCACTACTGACAGAGCAGCCATCTTCCTGTGGACTCACCCCCTGCAGAAGATCAGCGAGGGACTGGTGCTATGAGCATTGGGTGGCAGCTCTCATTGCCACTCCCCTGACCCAGAAATGGACTAATAAAGGGGTTGAAAATGAATGAATGAATGTTCTGACAATCTTATCTTAATTGGTTTATTTATTTTAGAATTTTTTCAGACCTCCGAACACTTGAAGCAACTAATGATATTATTATTAGACATACAGTACATGTATAAGTACCACATCAAAAAGAGACTAACATTATTTTAATTGCGGTACATGTGGTCTCAAACTATTCTTATCACAATTAAAGCTGCACTAACTGACTTTATTTTTGTATTCATTACGAAAATGCTATCAATATCCACGTAGTGCATTGGGATATACGTCCTTTTGAAGAAAAAGTAGCGCAGATTTGTGCTGGCATCACATTATATTTTAGATCGAGTTTTGATGAAACAAGGAAGAGAATGTGTTTTGGGTCTCAGATTGTGACCAATCACAGCGGACCACTAGCCCCCACTTTTGTGAGAAATCTACAGGTCCGTTAGCATAGACAGCGAAACAGCCATCCAAAAGAAAGTCCCGTTCCTCGGCGCTTCCCGGTTCTATCGTTCTATGGTCACGCCATCCACGTGCACATCCATATATCCATAATATCCATATTGGGAGACGCTAGCTCCGTCAACAACAGTGGGTGTGTGGGGGGCGATAGCTTCGTGGGTGCGGGGAGGGGAGCAGAAAGAGCGAGGCCAGCGAGTCCGCGGCTTCAAAATCCCAAAGTCAGTTAGTGCAGCTTTAAGCTTTAATCTGCAAATAACAGCTTGGTTTTTACCTTTTACCGTTTTTGAGCAATCTGTCAAAGAATATAATATTATATAGTTAAACCCAAAACACATCTCACCCGGGTCACTGGAGTGTTAGCACTGTGAGTCAACAGTTAGACCGCCATTGGAGACATCATGTGACCAGACTCATAGGCAGGTACTCATAAGCCAGAATGTTTAGCATCATCATGGTAAAGTTTTTATCCGCTTTCAGTGTCTCAATTCTTCTAAGGATATAAATCATAAGCATTTTAGTCTTGTTTTGTTCACATAAAAAATGTTGTTCTGCGATCCCATGTTATTTTACTGGTGAGATTAGCTAGAGTTCTGGCAACCCGGATCACGGACTCCGGTAGAGGGTGGGACGTCGAAATGAAAACAATATAACATCTTTTAAGGACGTCGAAATGAATACAATAACAACTTTTACGGGTAGGTAAACTAATTTTGATTGTCAAAATCTCGGGTGAACTACTGTTATAAAATAAATACCAGTTAAAGCATGTATTCGTAAGTGCTTGATTTGAATATGCCGTTTGTTATATTGGGGCCAATTATTGACGAAATTGACATGCAAATTATTTCAGAAATGCTTACTTTAAGAGATTGCAATTTCGTTATGTATTTCATTAAACAGTTATCTGTTTTGGAAGTTAAGTGCCTACACTTCAAATCTGATTGTGGGCAGAAACAAGAACACAAACCACTCAGAGCACAATGCTTCAAATGCCTCTCTTCAGTGAAAAAAAACAATTAAAATTTACATGAAACAATCCATAGGGCTCATAGGGTTTGTGTGTGTGTGTGTGTGGTGTGTGTCTTTTTTTACCAAAAAACATTTAAAAAAAATTAACAAAAACAATGATGTTTAACATTATGCCTAAATATAAATATGGTATGTACTTGTCAATGTTATTTACATTGGTCCATTATTTATTCAATCCCACTTGGTGGTCAGCTGCTTCTGAATTCACAAAGGCACCACATGTGTGTGCGTGTATATTTTACAGACATACCCTTTCTGTACTGTAGTACTTATTGTTGAATGAATGTAAGCTGTGCTGTTTCTTTAAATGGTGGGAGCTGAGGAGTGGAGGGGCCAGGAGACGGGAGAATAGCAGAGAGAGGGAGTAGTAGTAGAAAAAGGGGGGCGGCTCCAGTGTACATCTCTTCTGTGTCTCGTATGGGTGTATTCCAGCGTGGATTGACTGAAAGAGGGCATAAAAAAAGAAAGTTGCATCCTTGTGAATTGATTTTACTGTAAGATATTTTTTTCAAGGAACTATGATATTTTTGGAGCTCAGTAGCAAAGACTGGACTTCAGTAACCTCATCTGAGTGGTTACTTTAAGGATATAAAACAAGAGGACTTTTGTGATGGAGCAGTAGCTTGCTAAGTGAGTCTTGGGGATTTCATATCAAGATCTCAGAACAAACAGTCCGTATTTCAAAATTGCATTGATTCTAATAATGCTAATTATGTTTACAATTTGAAGCTTGCACGTGCTTTGAGCTGCATTAGTACATTGACTCTACTGGCGATCTGGGTGGTATCGATCCATTCACTGAAGGCTCAACTATAAACAAACTATCACAAAAAAAATCAATTTTTACTGACCGGCTTGGCTTTTCCTCCGATCGCTGTGACACAAATATAGCATGGCTACAGTGAAGGACAGCTGGAGTGGTGCATGAGCCGTGTGAAGAGTGGGGGGACAGCCTGGGGTCCAAAGCTGCGGTGGGGGCTCACACGCCGGTGGGGAGGAGTGGTGGTGGCGCCGGTGAGGTCAGAGTGGAGAAAAGGATCACTGAGGGCTGCCCTATACCACAAATGCCTTTTCCTCCTGGCTGTGCTTCTGTCTGTTCTTGAACCCTTCACTACCCAGGACTAGGTGAGTGCTGCTTCCTGTAAGCAATGTCAAATAAGGTCATTGAGAAGCACAAACGGGTTCAAAAACTGGCAATCTCGAGCAAAGAAGACTGCCAAAATAGATATACAAACAGTAGTTACTTGGCTTGAAACTGGTTAAATTTATCTTTATTTTAGTTAATTTTGATAGCATTTCATAAGATTTGGCCAATAGGACCAGTAAAATTTTTTGAATTATAAACATTATTTTTGAGAGTGACAATTTAACTACCTTATATTTTATCAGTTTTTGTAGTCAGGTCAAATGACATTGCCATTTAGTTAAGTTCATTATAGTTATTGCAGCAGAAAAAAACAGTTCTTGATTATTTATTTTTGCTTTATTTGCTGTGTTTGGTAATGCACATATTAGATTAGATAGGAGATTATTGTATTTTTTCTAATCAGTGTATTACAGTCTGTTATGGGAATAAAGAACATTTCTTTTACCTGTTGCTCAACAAAGGATAAGAGAAGATAAGAGAGGGTCGAGTGGGTGGTCACACAAGTGCAATCTAAATTATCTATGGAAAGCACTTTTTAAGCACAATTTGATTAACAGTATATTGTTTTTCAAGCTCTTACTCTGCTGTGACCTGTCCAATCCCCAATATCAACTATTGTCGATATCAATTAGATTGCATTTATTTTTGTATAGTCCTAAATCACAACAGCAGTCGCCTTGGAGGACTTCTTGTTGATTTGTCAACAGCAGATCAGAGAATCAAAAAATTCGAACACAGGAGCACATAGGAGCTGATGATCTCAATGGACGGCTCCTATTTAATTACCAATGTCCATAAATGTTAATAAATTCCAATAAATGTCCTTAAATTTCCAATAGAGGCAAAAAGTGTAGGCTTGAATAAAACACTTCTATGTAAAATCCACTATAATAAAACTTTTACCTTAAACCTTAAACCATGACTAAAATAGGACCATACATGACTACTGAGATTAAACCAAATCTCAGTAGTCATGTAGTCACCAAGTCGGCACACGACAGCATGTCAAAGAGGTAAACAAGCCGAATCCTAAATAGCATCAGCCGATTTAGGTGGTCATCATGAAACTAAACTTCGGAAGCTACAGAAGGCCAGACAACATAACGACACCAAACCACCACATATCTATACAATCATTCACCACATAAAAGCAACAAGAACATTTTCAGTTGGGTTACAGCACAGAGCTCACTGACTCATTACCGTAACAAAAAATAAAAGAGTGCAATTTCACACTGAACCAGATGTTAACAGCTTGTCTTGATGCCAGCACTGCAGGTGGAAATGACTCGAGTTTAAAAATAACATGACAATCACGTCGTTTGGGGTCTAAATCACCAGTAGAAGTGCGGTGAAGACAGAGCGCCGCAGGTGTAACATTATATGGGGAGGCTTCGTATGTGTGTCATTAACTTCAGATAGACCCAGACAATACCCTGACTTTGGCTGGCCTCTGATGGTCACTGTGATGGGTAAATTGGTCGCCCTGGGTAACCAGCTGTTATAGGGGCCATTTTGAGCCCAATGACACCGATAATTCAGGCTTGTCTGTTGGAGAGTTACTGCTGGATTCTGAACCTATGGTCTAGTGGAGGGTGGGCAATCACACTAAATTGTTCTGTTTTTTTCTCTGCTTCCATCATTTTGGGGTTGGCTATCATCAGTAATTAACTTGATCTCAGATGTCTGTCTTAACACAGCTGTGATCCTTTTCATGAATTAATTACAGAAATAATTGTATGTAAAATGTCTTGCAAAAGTGCCTGGACATCTGTTGATATTTCGAAGTTAAAATTAACTGATCTATGTTTTGAAGAAGCTAAGAGTATGCAATTTCTTGTCATTAGGCACTTTCTATATATCGACCTGGCCTTTCACAAACGTTCCCCTACAGTGTCCTAACAGGTTTTTTATTTCATTTTTTATTTGTGTTGACATCAGTAGTCCTGTATCTCTTATAAAGTTTAATGGTTGAACATTTTGTCAATTTCACATGAATATTTTGGAAAAAGGGTTAATTTTCATGGAATCAAGAGGGGAGGGGTGACAGTGGCTCAGTTGCTCGGGCATTACTGTTGAGGTAAGGGACTGGTGCTTTGTTAGTCCAAAAATGGACTAACAAAGGGGATGAAAATGAAAAAAGAATCAAGAAGGATGTAAACTATACATCCTTTTTCTTGTTTATTTAATGGTAGTTCCACATATATACGTACATACATAGCATAAGCAGGGAGTCAACACCCACCTAAAATGTTTGATATTATAATCTAATAAATGAAAACAATGGAAAAGGAAAGAATTTGTTGGCTCTTGCACAATAGTTTAGAAGGGTTTTGAATCCACTCTTATTTTGACCATGATTTGTCAATGACCTAACTCCTGGACACTTTCCCAAATGTGTAGTTTTTTTCCAAGTGTTTTCCCAGAAATTCCTAACAGTCTAATCTTCCACTTCTCCAATGTGTCAAACAAAAAAGGTACCTATTAATACAAATGGTTTAGACGACACAAACCATATGCCACATTTATTCCAGTATTATTTACCGTTATATACTGTATGTAATTAAACTGCTATGAATGGTCTCTATCCTGTTAAGTATGTCAACGGGTGTAACATGTCTGATTCGATTACATAATAACATCTGGTCTGGATGGAGAATACAAAGGATGCAGTAAAAAGCAGTGTGTTTGTTGTTGTCAAATCTTAAGGGTATCTTGAGGACGAGTATTTCTACAAACAACATATCCAGTGTGGCTGTGTGACTAAGGTCATCAACAAGCATGACCTTAGTCTGTCTGTGACAGTCTGTGAAAACCAATATAAAACCCGGAGGAGAAAGCACTTAGCATCAGCAACTCACAATACAACATGGAGTCCTCTTGAACTCTTGTTTTGTGAGTGGCAATATCTGCTCAAAAGAGGTGCAGCCATGCTTCCTTCTCAATACGACATTCACTCATTGTGCACCTGTTGCTTTTCATTTTCAGCCCTATAATAAAAAGTGGTCAATGAGTACAAACTTGGTAAATAGATCAATATTGTTTTAATAGATTTTTTCGTAGAATCCAGACTATTATTGTTTATTTCCTAGCCACTGTGCATTGTATGGGGCAGCTTCAAAGGTTATAATTGGCCAATAAAAGGGCACAATGGTTGAGAACATTCAGTCAATTTAACAGGACTTCAAGTAAATCTGCCCAAAATCTGTTTGGATACCTGGGCAATTTTGTTATCTGGGGCGTGTGCACGGTAGGTTTCTCTGAATGCCTTGACATTTCATTGAATCGCAGCGGCTTGTTGCTATGACGACGCAGACCGAAATGAACACAATGCCCTGTGTGTGTGTGTGTGTGTGTGCATGTGTGCGCGTGTGTGTGTGTTTGTGTGGGCCAGCTCCAGTTGGTCTAATTGACTTCCAATGCAAATAGCATCTTCTTCTATTCAGGATAAAGTGGGGTAGATTAGGCAAAGGTGCAGGAAGAAGAATTGATGTTATAAAAAGCACAAGAAATGTGGGCTATGGTTTAATTATGCATTTTTAGAACAGTCCACGACGTCCACTAAGGACACTCTTATGTAACCTTTTAAATTAATGCATTTGAGGTCACTACGGCAGACAACATGAACTTTTAAGCTACCAATAAAATCAATGAAAATCCAATGTGTTCACAATCTAAGCTTTTTACAACCAATTTAAATCACAGTAAATTGATTTTGAAACTGCTTTAATGAAAAAAAAAGCTCAGGTGACCCCATCGATGAAACCTGATCCTAGGGAGAAGGACAGGGCAAGTAATACGAGCAGCCATAAATATGCTGTTTTATGTGGACAAGGCAGCTGAGACCAAGCTGTTTTAAATTCTACACATTCTTAATATCAATATTCCATACAATGTGGAAAGATTCTTGGTTTTACTGGCAATATTAACAAAATTTAATATAATTATAATTTTTCTTATGAAATATAAAATTGTACCGTTTGCAAACAATAACATATTTAAACATATCTGCATGTATGATTATTATATTCAGGTCAAGCAGTGACTGTGCAGTAATTCAGTCATAATTTCACAAAAAACAACAGAAGAAAACACTGATTCCGTAAACAAGGACAAACTTTAGTTTCCCGGAGCTGTGGCTATAATCTCACATTACACTCGTTTGTTTCATACCATCATATTTTCATAATTTGATTATAGCAAGATGTGACATCAAGTTTAAAAATAGCGCTATTTACAACAACAAAATTTCAATTGGAAAAACTCTTGTCATGTTTAGCATGTTTGACGTTAATAATCCAGTCATAAACGAACCTCAAACTCTATCAGTGCCATTCGAACTGATTTGAACAGTATGTATTTAAGCTGACATCTCTTCTCTGCAAGCCCCACTTTCCTTCGGCCTAACGTGAGCTGACATGCAGGCGACCAGACCACAACAGCGGTAATGAAGGCTGAGTGGGAATCTATTTGCGAGCTGTTGAACCTCGTTAAAGACCTGCCAGGGAGTAAATCCTTATTGTAAACATTCAAGCATCTGTTTATCCGTTATGCAGAAAGACCAGTGTGATTCAGAGGAGCGTATATGTATAATTGGGTGGCTTAGGCGAGGGCTGATTTATTGTGTACTGCAGACACATGGTGCACAGTGGCTCATGTGGAAGGTGCAGGTGGTCTGTTATCTTAATGACTGGAGGGTTTTGAAGGAGAAATAACCCATAAAATGTGAAAGGCAGTGGACACATGCCCAAGAAGTAACAATTGTAAACCCCTTTGTGACTCTGGTCTGTGAAAGGCGGTATATAAATAAAGATTACTTACTTACTTATACACAACTGTATTTGTTCTACTAAAAACATGCAGTATTTAAGAAAAAACAATCACTAATATCGTCTAATATGAGGTGAATTGTACCATTTAATCTAGTATATTAGTATATGCTCAACATAAGCCTTTAAGAAAATATATATATGGAAAATATATATATATAATAAAGAAAATCATAGAAAAAAAACAGCAGCAGCTGTTTGCAGCTATGTCATCTCAAATGCAGTCATAACTTAAGTGGAATTCTCGGGTTAGAAAACATGTCATGAATGTGACAGGCACAACTGTGCATCGTCACACTCGCTTTGGATTTGCGTCAGCCACCAATGACGAGCCCAAAAACATTCAGAAAAACCACACACATTACCAATGAATACAAATAATCCAAATATATATTATTATTAGACAAAGTAAGTAAGTAATATTTATTTATATACCGCCTTTCACAGACAAGGGTCGCAAAGCGGTTTACAATTGTTATTATTTTATTGGGCACTTGTCCTCTCACTCCACACAGAGATGGGAGCGGGGTCGCAGAACAGGAGGCGCATGCCAGATCTATTGTACATATTTTTAGTGGTAGGGGAAACCGGAGTACCCGGAGGAAACCTACGCAGACACGGGGAGAACATGCAAACTCCACTCAGAAAGGCCCTGGTCCAACCGGGATTCGAACCCAGGACCTTCTTGCTGAGAGGCAAGAGTGCTATCCACTCAGCCACCGTGCCACCCACACTAAAGACTAAAGCAGAATGTACAAATTTGCTTGGTCGTGTACTTGTAAACTCTTCATCTATGTCCAATTCTTAGTTTAATCTTTTATAGTTAGTAAAAATTCTGGCATTGATATTGCCACATTATTGACCTTGTTCAGCCCCTACATTATCTGGTGGGACTGGTGGCTTGGTATGGCGAGTTTGAGAGCCACTTTTGTGTATCATTATTGAGAATAGCCCGAGGTGAAGCAGCCCTCACTGACTTGAGTTTGTCTGGTTGTTTACTTGTCCTTGCGACGCTGTCCTCCTGATTTCCTCACCCCCTCTTTTACCATTTCCTCTGTCTTCTGGTGCTTTCTCTTTCCTTCACACTCCACCATTAACCTCCTACACTGGCAGTGGGTGCTTGCTCAAGTTCTCTCTGTAATTATAGTCATTAGTCTGGGTAATATCAAGCCACACAATCACGCTGCACACACACACACACACGTACGTTATACACACACACAAACTCACACGCATCTCCCCACACACACAAATACACACACACTTGTCTCCCACGTGTAACACAAGTTTGTGGCTTAGCACTCCCAGACAGCTCTCACAGCCCTCTCATCCACACAACAATGCCCTAACCCATGTCGCGTCTTTAGTAATTTGATTAAATGGAACTACTCAGTTGCTTTGTTGTTAAAAATGGCCAGTTTATTTTAATTGCTTTTATTGGACAACTCATGTTGTGATTGGGAATTGGCCCATTTTCCAACAGCTGGTATATCTCATCAATTGCTCAATGAGGAATTTGGCAAAAATAACAAGGACAGAGATTACATTCCGATTTAGATCTAAGAATCTGCTGTCCATCTATTTGGTACACATTCACAGGATTTAGAGGGAGGCAAGGCACAAGGACGAATCAGTATTTTGTAATATCAATCGATGGCATTGGACAGAAGCCTTCTATTGAATTACACGCACAAAGTGAGTCACTGTCGCTAAAACTAAAAACTAAGAGAAGATAAGATAAGAATTGTGTGGAGATATACAGTGTATTTTGCCATTTTAATGCTCTAGAAAAAATGAAACTTCAATGTACGCATTTCATTGTGTAAATTATACAATGATACCATATGACCTTGCAGTATCATCTAAATTAAGTATTTCTCATAATATATTTAAAAAAAAAATTGTCCCTCACCAGTCAAATGAGCTGGAGGAGAATAGTTAGATCAGTGATGAGAAATCTCATAATTGATCATAGACTAATTCATTCTATAGTAAATCATATAAATGATTGAATGATTATTTTGCAATGTACATTACATAATATTTTGCATTGTCAATTGTAGTTTTTACCATACTTTAACACACAATCCTATATTATTATCTTTATTATGCTGAAGCTAGAGATGTTATACTTGTTTCTTTATTATGCTAAGGTTAGAGATTGCAATATTTAATTTAAGTATAGTTATTGTTCATTTATCTTGTGTTGTGTGCTCTTCATTCCTACTGCTCTGTACCCAGTGATGCAAATTTCCCAACTGTGGGACGAATGACGGATCTCTTATATCCTACATGCACATCCATAATCCAAATATTCAAACAAGATCATTATTATTCTTAACTACAAACCTTCCGAGTCATTTTCTTTCTACAGACTTGTCAGTTGCAGGGACAGTGCATTTGTACTGTTGTAAGTGATACTATGATCAGAGTGCAAACTAGTTTTTAGAGCTTTTGCAATACTCTCTTTGTTTTTTGGACCAAAGCTGTACAGATTTTATTATATGCATTTTGGCAACAAAGCATCAACGCACTGATATTTACCCTTTAAAAGGCGATCACATAAATGAGAGCCTGCTGCCTACGCCGTGAGTCAGACTTTAGACAATATCCTCTGTATTCTAACTAACATCCCACTAATACACTATTCTGGCTGTTATTTTTGTCAAATTGACTACAATGGTCCCTTGTGCTTTCTTCTCCATGCCCATTGCTATTAAACATGTAGTACTCTTTAAAAAGTGCCAGTTTGTGCAGAAATATTAAATGGAATCCAGTTGAAGCCATCAGAAAGATTATTTGGCTGACAAACTTATTCCATTTAGGTATTATCGTATTAAAAATGACGTGTTCAAAATCCCTTATAAAGATGACCAAGATTCAGAAAGTTAAATTCAAAAAGGTTTATTTCCCTAATACAAAAAGAATCTAAAACAGCTGTTCGGACCAAAAGTAACTATCCCTTATTCTCTATATAAAGTATAAAAGTATAACTTTGAGTGGGCGCTCCACATCAAGTCACACACTGTCCCTGGTCCGGTAAAAACTAACTAAACACATTCAAGCTATTCATTAAGTCAATGTGCAAGAGGAAGAAGGGGGCGTGTCGTATCAGGCAGGTCTCGGGTCCAGGGTCCGGCCTCTTCCATCATGTCTCCTCCGTCTGCCGGACCTTAAACAGAATCATTCACACACTACCCCTCCCTAATTCTATAGACATATTACTTCCTTGAGATAAGACAGAAGGCTCTCAAGGCTTCTCCTCCAGATTCTGGGCTCCATCTCCTTCTTTCACAACTGAAAGGATTAGCAGAATCCAGGAATGCCGATCCCCCTTGGCCTGAGATTAACTATCATTAATTTACCCATGCACTTTGGACAAAAATGGGACCAGGGGAGAAGAGCAATACAAGGTCTTTTTTGATTCAGGGTCAGTCAAATGCACATCTGCTTTTTAGTCTATATTTAATACAACAGTATAAAAGTTCAGACCCCTGCAAATATCTGTAATTCTTATTGCAGTGCAGCAGTTCACAGTTTTGTCATACACTGTGAATGGAATCTCAGCTGTACATTGAAACCACACAAAAAAAACAATGAAATAAAATACATCACAATCATATTTCAAATGCATGTATTTTTCCTCAGTATAAAAAAGATACAATATGTTCTAATAAAATTACAGACAGAAATTTTTGCAAAATTTAACTACAACAAGACTTTCTGTTGGGAAAAACAAAATGTATTTGTGAAACAAAAATCTTAGGTACTCCAGCTCTAAACTTTTGCTATTTGCTAATGACCAAAATCATTATGGCACAAAAACCTAGCTGCAGGAGACTGAACCAACTGCTCAGAGCGAGTGTGTCTTTTCTAAGCTCTCGTCCTCCTGTCAATCGCAGCTCATGTAGAGGTGGGCAGCTTTTCTCTCCGGCAGAGCATCTGCTGGTGGGCGTGGCCTTATCGACTTTAGCATTTTGCTTGTATATAACAGCTTTATTGCTCAATTGATCAAAGTCACCAAAACTTGAACACAATGAAAATGTTTTGAGTATTTGACGTGAACCACATGGGACCGTTCGCTAATTAAAAATAAAAAAGCTATATTTGCCTCAAATTTTATATTGAAATGTTGAATCTGTTTAAATTAAATGTAGGAAACTAACACTTTGCATGTTCTTTCTATGTCAGCAAGTTTCCGTCAGGCTCTCTCTTTTGGTTGGATAGTAGTAAAACTAGCTCCCATTGGTTAATGCTGCCAAGTGTCCTTGGGCAAGACACTTAACCCGCATGCGCTCACTGGTGCATGAATGAATGATGGAAAGTGCAGAATAAATGTGACCATGGACAAAAAAAAATTGTCAGAGGGATTGTCAGAAATAAATACTTTACTTTGTGGTCTTACATGAAAAACAACCTGAGCTACAATAACAAGATGCAATAGAAACTAATCAAAGGGTTTTTGCTTTTTTCTTTCTGCTACAATCTACAAGCTCTTCAACTTAGAACGATTTTGAAGTTTACACCATATTGTGGACCTGCGCAAACGATAGTATAGAGCTGATTCTGCACCAGAGACCGTAAATATTGCATCTTGTACTCAAATCGACTCTTTCTCCTACACTGAGACTCCCTCCAGATAAGAGCAGAACAGATCATGAGAAAGTAAACAGTCTGGGCAAAACTGAGAGACTTTTATGTTGGCAGCATTCCCGCAATTAGTCTTGTTGCAAAAAATACACACAGAAGAATGCAAGTCATTCCATTATATGTTACAATCTTATATTCCTTCGGCCGTAAGGTTTAGACAACAGATCTGTCAGAGCAAAACGCGATTAATGTTGTTGGTGACGTTTAGAACACACGCAAGGACCACAAAAGGAGCCCGCGAAGCATGATCTATAAATAGTATTGGTCCTGGTCCCTGTTGACCCGGTCTTTTGTCTTAACCCCTTTGCTCCGCAGTTGGTGTTAGCAAAAGATCAAAGACATGCAGTCTACACAACCGATGCTCTGTTTTGACCTTTTAAGCATCCAAAAAGAGTCAGTATTCACAGAGATATGAGTTGTTCAAGAGTGCGGATTGTGTGTCTGACAACCTGCGCATGGAATATATGTGCGCAATGAGAGGCGATGCGCCGTGTTTTACACATACTTAAATCAATGTTTTTAAAACAGTTACAAGAATGATGCACTTCCCTCAAGCTTTATAAATAAAGCTGTTAACTGCTAAGAACCAGGACTGAGCCAGCAGAAGTCCATCCATCCATCCATTTTCTACCCTTTAATCCATTTCTGGGTCAGGGGGGTGGCAGTCAGAGATGCCACCCAAGTCTCATAGCACCAGCCCCTCACTGACCCTCTGCAGGTGGTGAGTCCGCAGGAGGCCAGCAGAAGTCTTTTAACCTAACTTTTATTTTGTGTCCAAAAGTAAATTATTGTGAACAAATCAGACAACAGCACATACTTATCTTATCAAAACTTTGGCAAAAGAGGTCTGAAAAAGATGATCTAAAAATGTGACAGAGGTCAAAAATACTGCACGTGGAAAGTGATAGAACTACACTGTTTCAGAGCGGGGAACTAGTGACATGAATCTTATAACAGAGTTACGTGGTAGTACCCCAAGTTTAACCAGACTCAGTGACCATAAAATATTGCTGATTCTGGTTTGATTACTATTCTCAAATTAATAATAGTTGAACTTAAGATGTTTAAGAAGTTTAAAATCCTAATCCCTGTTAAAAGTAAATAAGAGACTGGGGTTACGTACAATTCCCCATTGTTAAAAAATCTGCAAAATTCACAATTCATTTGAATTCAACATTATATAGTAGCCCTTGAGCCATTTGGTAATCTTGAGGTAACTCTGGGATTTAAAGATGTTGGTGACCCCTTGTATGGATGTGTTCTACTGAATTCTCAATCAATAAATAATCTCTCCGTTCATCCATAATCCAACCAGAGTACTGTATTCTGAAAACATATATCAAATATTGCTTTCAGAACTATTAGTCGTTGTGTTGACATAGCTTTAATGTGTTGAACAGTTGACCAGTTGTAAAGTGCTTTTTTTGAACACTCAAAGACGCTTCTCATGACATACAACTGTAACCCCAGTTGCCCTGGGGCATACTGACAGAAGCGAGGTAACCACTATTTGCTATCGGACCCATACAAACACCACCAATCATTACAATATGGACAAAAACCCTAAATGTAGCCATCATGATATTGTTTTTGTAATTATTACCAAGACCGTCAATGTTATAGCTGGAGTAACTAACTTTGAAACCATAAAAAAAATCTTGTGTTATATGGTTAGATCTGCGTGTTCATATTGTAGTCTTATGTGTGCACAAAATGTTACTTCAACAAAACTTTCTGTTGAGACAAACACACTGAAAAAATATGTAGGATACTCCATCTTTAAGTTAAAAAACAAATGAGACAGAATGTTGACACAGATAAAAAACATCTTTGTCATTTAAAATTTCAATTACATTTGGTTCCTTTCAGTAAGTGTCTGGTTCACTTCATCAAAGAAATTACAGTTTTGCGTAACTGCGACCCTGAAAATGGGTTTGAATGCTCGCCTCTAAAAGAAAACCTTTAAGTCGAGATGGTAAATATCATCAGTTTTTTTTACTTCTTTTTTTTTCTTCTAACTATCAAGCCGAGTCTGTTTGAGCCCTCCCCCACACGTCCCCTTGGTCTGCTCAGTCTGCGTATCTCTTCAGTTTGACCCAAAATAAAACGAGCAGGAGAGAAGAGGCCAAGGCCGTGATGCACACTACGCCCACTGGGTATTTCTTGTGTCACTTTAGGTTTCTGTCTGCTTCTGCATTGTCAACCTCTCGTGAAACAGCAAAAACAGAAAAGTAGTCTGTCAAACTGATTGTTTGAATAATTTAGCACTTTTGGACTGACTGAATGAGTACACATCTGCGTGGGATACTACTCACGTTTCCATTCATTCTGAAAACTCATTCAGATATCTTCAAGACAGTGCTCAACAGATGTTTTGGAAAAAAATGACTGATGTTCACTGTGACAGGTCGTTATACTCAAAGCTTATGTGCAAAATGTATTACCACGCTCTGTTTGGTGCTGTCATGTTTAAATGTGTTGAATACATTTCTTCATTCAAAGGAAATTTGTAATATTAGTAGTTGCTTCAAAATCAATTGTAACACTAAAGTTGGAGTACCTAACCTATGTATTATGAACCATGTAACTCTAGTTATTCACTTTTTGACTGTATCACTAGTTTTCACATGCATGCATTTTTGGTCTCCCTCCCATCTTTAGAACAGCTCTTCTCTTAAATAATTCTAGCTTGAAATAAGAAATAGTGTGCAAAAGTATTATAGTCTAGGCCAATCAAGTACAAATACTTGATTGAAACAGGGATGTCCACTACACTATTTTCACTACGTCACATGCCCCCTTGTTTAAATCAGCTGTGTTCCAGTCTGTACATACGTACTTAGAAAATGATATGTAAAAGAGTGCAATGTTTAAGTTTCTATTTGGTCCAGACTCCAGATTTAACCTAGAACTATTCAAGTTGACAAAAAAAGATCAGGTATATATTTCTGCATATTTGTAGCCAGGAATGCGATGGCTACATTTAATCATTCAGCCTACTCGTAGAACTCTGGAGACGTGAAAGTAGATGCATGTAATTGTAACTCATATGAAGTAAACCTGAAATCCTCTGTGCATTTATTGGAGATTCAACCCAAATTAATTTTCCCAGACAAGCTCGACCACTTTTACCATGTTAATGAAGTAAAACAGAGAATATATGAACGTAGTCTTAGCTGTCATGTGGAAACCGTGAATCACATCAACGGAGCGCATGTCCATCCCTCGTTGTCATAGAAACATGCAACATAATGAGATAATAGTGATATATGTTTGCTGACACACGCTGCACTTAGGACAAACTTTCCCAGGGAGAGCATGTAGGAAGAGATTGGATTCAGACAGGGACCACAGGGTGATAACTCAAACTTGACCCACAAGTATTTTTCTAAGTGTTATTTTGCGTTGACTGTCAGCAGCATAAACCACACACATTAAAAGCCACCACTTAAGAGCTGAGTCACTAATGCAAAGAACGTCCGAGGTGTAATCCATTATCAAACAACTTCTCAAAGCCTTTTAATAACAATGTCTTGTCTGTGACATTTTGTTGAGACTCTGCATACATTTCAGTAACCATTTAGTAGTTTATGAATTAGATTACTAGGAAGAATACAAAAAATAATGACAAAAAAGAGCTTTATAGCTTCATAATGTAATGTTATTTACTGTAAGTATATGTTATTTGCCTGTGTCATGGTCATGTGGGTTTTATCATTCCTGCATTTTGTTACTTCATGTGGTTTTCATTTGCTGCTCAAATTAAATTTCCCTGGTAAATACAGAACTAAGATAGTTTGAATATCACACAAAAATCATTTGTTTTTGTAACACAAGCTAATATGTGAAATTAATGTATGATATAGACTCATGGCACCCCCAAATTTCTGGGTTTAATATCATTATTTTATTGATTTCCGATGATATACTAATCTTGCAAGATTTTTAATGTGGGTTTTTTTCAAGCTGTGAGCCATAGTGAACAAAACTCAAATTCAGGCTTGAACTATCTCACTTTGCAGTCCTTTATTAGTTTCACATCTGAGGTTGTATTACAGAATAAATCAACGTTTTTGTCATATTCTAATTTTATGAGTTTATCGTGTAAAGTTGTCTGAATCTGAAGTAAATAGTATTCATTCTTGATTGTTATTCTTGCCATAAGATTGCAGTCTTAGATACGCTGCATGTGTGTGTGCAAGGTTCACAGATAATTGTGAAGCTTTTAGTAATTAGAGAGACACTTTTGGCATAGTTTTAAGTACGTGAAAGAAATTCTTCAATTCAAATTATCACAGCCCTCAAAAGTAATGCACAATTTTCTCATGTGGATACAAATCCAGTGGGGGGTGTAATGGTGGGGGAGAGAGGGGCTGACATTTGTGAAGATAATTAAATTTAAATTTGGGCACAGTTGACTAAAGCAGGAGCCTCCACAGTGCAGCGCCTGGGGAATGGCTGAAGTTCAAATACGACTTAATGACCTACTTGTGCTGTGTGTGGCAGGTACGCTGATCTCTGCCTTCACTGTGCTGTGTGGAGCGCGCAGTGACCTCATCTCGGAGCGGGGAAAGTGCTGCGTGTTTTGGCTCAACGTGGTCGCGGCTCTCATCCAGATCCTCACCGCTGTCCTCATGGTTGGATGGATCATGAGCATCTTCTGGGGAATGGACATGGTCATTTTGGCAAGTCAGTATCACGAGTGTCCGGGGATAACCATTTGTAAAAGTGCACCACAACAGATGTATTTAAAATATCCAGTATTGGTAAAAAGCCTGCCAGTTACCAGTATAGGCAAGAACACCTTTAAGTTTTTCAATAATTAAAAGCAAGTAATCAAATTACAACAAGAGGAACGTACAATAGCACATAATGAAAGTCAACAAAGAGCTAGAGACATACAACATATGTGCAATGTCTTGGACCAGCCATTTTATTTACTTATAGTTCATTAATTATTTATTACTTGTTTAAGTAACAATTTAACATGTCTTTATCTTATTAAGAAACATGATATACTTTACATACTGAGAGCTGATTAGCTGAGTGTTTTCACTTTTCTGTTTGAAAAAGCTGATGTAAAGACAGAGGCCAAAAAACACGTGTGTTTTTGTGGTTTAAGGTACTGTACGTACTCCAGTTCTATAGAGAAAGGAGAAAAGTAGCATTTTGACTCCTCTTTGAGATCTCAGACGTACAATGTTATGTCACAAATGATCGCTACCAGCAAATGACTCGGATGATAATTATTACAACCTCCAGCTGTAACATCGAATTAATTGCATCGGGGAAAGTACAAATCGTCTGGAGCAGGGGGGCGAGCACAGACACAGGACACCTTATATTCCCTTCCCTTTTGGAAATTTGGGACTGCTATTTGGGCACTGATGCATAAGCAAGGGGACACGCTATAGGACAGTCTTATTAGTTGGCTGCGTGTGATTGGCGATTGCACAGTGTGTGAGCTCATTGCCGCCCTTCTTCTTCGCATGTGCGTGTGGCGGCTGCGTGCGTACGTGTGGGAGGGAGCGCCAAAACAAACCCCCGGTGTGTTTTTGTTCACATCCATCGGCTTTTTTCACAGGCCCGAAGACACGTGGCTGATTCAACTGTTGCTACGGCCTGTTAACGCTCGCAGGCGCATATTGAATATTTATGCTACGATAGGGTATAGATTCTACAGCTGCACGTACCAAGGTTTGCTTCACCAGTGGCTGATACTTTGTTATGCAAAGCCCTGTGGTATATAAATTAGTTAGCGTTGGCACCACATTGAGAGAATGTACAGTATGGGGTGTTTTATGTGTTTACTCAGATATTCTGTTTAGTGTGTATAATGACTGTGTCAAAGATGGCAGCAGAGTTAAATCACATATCACAACCAAAAAAAACTCTGCCAGAAGTTCCTAAAAACTAGGTCTAGGAAGCTAAAAACTGATTATGATGAGGTGTTTTTACTTTCCACTGTATGCTTCTCTTTAAAAGGTACCTTCCTCCACTATCTTAGTGGTGACCTGCTTTTTGTGGTTTGATATCTACTGCTTGTAAGTTTAGAGAGACATGACAGAGAGACAGACGAGGTGTAGCCGTTGGGTAAGCAGGACAGGTCACAGCAGCAGAGGTGGTATAGCCGCTTGGTTCGGACCATTTTTTCTGCTCGGGTCCAGAGTTAAATGCTGAATGCTTTGTTAGCATTTTTCAAAAAATGAGAATTCCTCAAATGGATTTCTGCTTGATCTGCTTGGTTCGGTCCGTGAATCCTCTCTGCTCTGGTATGGATCAGTGTTTGAGCAATCTCTATTTGTACTGCGTATTAAAGTGCTTCACAATGATTTTTTTTGGAGTATCAATATTTACCATTTACCACACACAGCGACGACAGAAGACCTACATGTTTTTAGTGGCAAGGGAAACCAGAGCATCCTTCACACAGAAAGGTCCTGCTTGGAAGTAGAATCGAACCCAAGACCTCCTTGATGTGATGCATGCACAAACCACTGCACCACCACCGCCTACAGATATATTAATGGTTGGCTTGAAATGTGATAATGAGAAGACTCGCCTCCTTACAGATATAATGAGTGAATATTAGTTTCCGATGTTAAAGTAAAGATGTAGATGAACCCAAGCAAAAAGCAGACCACCACCAGGATAGTTGTGAAATGCACCTATAAAGACAAATTAGAAACATACATTTACATTTTATCACCGGTTTCTATTCATCATGTTATATCTTCACTTATTCTCTCTTGCAGCGAGCAGCTTCTCTCTCATGTTAGCCGAAGTCACCGATGATCAAATGCATTCTTCGCCTCTATACCTTCAACTTGTTCTACGTCTAATGATGCAGCCCCCGACCGCCTTGTTCTCTATCTAATGATTGCTCCAATTGATCTCCCGGAAACCCTGCTCCTCTTTCGCTCTTTAAAACGCTTTATACCTCCCACTCCATTCCTGCCCCCCATCTCTCTATCTGCGCTGAATGTTTTTAGAATACGCAGCTTGTGTCTCTCAAAGTATCGAGATTCTGTGTATACATTTACTTGATCATGTAACGCAACCAAATGTTACACAAATCAATAGTTGTTTCTAGAAAATACCCACTGAACATGTGATAATCTGTGCTGGGTTGTGTCACTATTGCTGTATGCCTCAATTATTTATTGCTAATTTTTTGTATTTTCTTTCTCTTTCCCTTTGTTGCTCCGCATCTTGGAACAGTTTCCGATGGTATGTATTGCAGTTATTTTAAGCATGCTTTATACTGATATACAGTTGTCTTAAGGGAAAATGTACATTACATTACCAAGTTCTTTAGCCATCGCAGTAGTTTCCAATAAAAAAAAACATTGAATTGAAAAATAATTGTTGAGTAATTATCTGTTTCTAACCTCAGCCTTGAGATCTCCTGATGCTTTACCTATATCCCTGGAAATTATTTTAGTTCTTTGTTTTGGTGCTTTGGACTGTAGTCACACTGTAATAATGTACAGTAGGAGTCATATACTATTTGTTTTGTATAATACTTTTTTCTTTGCATACAAAAAGAAAAAGATGATCCAGGGTGAGGAGGGTAGAGACTAAATTAACTACCTATATAACCCTTATAATACAATACAAAATTAAACTCAAATAAACAATCATTTAATATTGTCTAATCCTAACCGTAACCCTAAACCAGCTTGAAGGTACTCTCCTTAACACTTTGTACTGTGTGGACAGTTATGTGTTGGAAATTATTCAACTAAACTAAAACTAAATATATTTGGCTTCCCGAGAACTTTTGTTGCCATGGTTACACACGCTCAGCTGTTACGTTAGCTGAGCAGGTGTTGATAACAACATTATAATGGCTTTTCCAATTGGACCAAAAAAAGTATTTGTTTTATTGGCTCATAAGCCGCAATAACCAGCTGTTGGTTTATGTCTATTACAGAGGATTACGACATGGCAAAACACCAAGTCCTAAGAACAGCTACCCTTATTTTCAGTTGACAATACAAACCCACTATATACTTTGTGTCAAGGCTGTGAGGCTCAAGTAGAGCTTTGTTGGTTGGAATTGGAAAATCTAGAGCAGTGGTTCTCAGCTTTTGACTGTGAGACCCACATTCATTCCAGGTCATGTTGTTGTGACCCTTTATCCAAACAGAAGTTCTTTTCTTTTTAGTAGTTTACAAAGTAACTTCAGGGTCTGTTTGTCTCCCATGAGGTGCTTTTCCAGGACACTTCCAAAGACATTAAACTTGTTAAATTACAAAGTTTGTAAAGTGTGCAATGTATACTTGCACAATGTTTCCTACTGCATGGTAACTTTATGCTCTGTGAAAAGACAGCTCGAGGAGAGAAATGTTGAAGAAAGTTTGGACTTTGTTCAAAAAAGACTCCAATCTGTAGAGATGACTCCATTTGCAGCAATATTACGCACATATTCTAGCTTCCTTTAAATTTAGTAGTTAAGGTTCTCCCAAAACATGAGAATATCCAAACTATTCAACAAAATGTGCAGTGCTATTCCTAGCAAAGATTCTAGGCAGAACCCTCAAGCTCCTAGGCCTCTGGTAAAGGACCAGAGAGGGATAACCGGAGGGTGAACGTAGCAACATTTATATGTACTGTACCATTGGGTAAAATGGCTATCGGATGATACCCTCGTGGGTTCATCTGATGGCCATTGTTCTTTATTTGTTTGAAAATTGTGCCACACTTTATTTATCGCTGCTAACTGTAACTCGGTATTGCACCTTACTGGTGGAAAGTAGCATGGTGCTAAATCTGGTGCAGCCATCTTATAATGCAACTGCACATTGTCCAAAAATAAACGTAAACTTATAGCTGATAGAAAGTTGGGGCCCTTTTCTTCATTCAGCCCCTGATAGACTTTGAAAATGCTCAATATGACATCATAAATAGACATCATGATTTAAAACAATAATTTACAATGTATACATTTACTTTAAAACAATGGCACCAGTTAGTTATTTGATTAATTCCAACATAAAATGTGTGTACTGCTAATAATAGTTTTTTGTAAAGTACCTTCCTAAGGCAATTAAAATGGCCCACCGGTCATGTCTGTCTGCTGTTACATGAAAAGGCAAAAACCAATTATTGTCAATTGCTCGGACTAAATGTTGAATGGTAATTGCTTGTCACACCTTTGAAAACCCTGTAACAGCCGATGTAAAAGCAATCTAATTGAATTTACTGAGTGTTCTTGCCGGCAGTCAAAACAGTATGTGCTCACATTTACCTTGTGCTTTGGCAGGTTGTAGGGACCAGGGAGTTCCTCAAGAAGTCTGAGAAGAATCTGAGACACTTTGATCTCGATAATATTCCAATTCATGGCGAGCTGCAGCTTTCCAGTCTTTCAACAACAGCAAAGGCGACATCAGCCGGTGCGAAAAAAAAGGGAAAGACAATGTTGTAAGATATGATGTGGCCATGGCATTGTCCGTCTTACTTTGTAACGTAACTGTATTTTCATATATATTATTGTTACTTTCAGTGGATTAAGAATTTTGCTAATGTATGTAAAATATTGTCAGACTGTGAGATATCACTCTTGTGGCTGATAAAAAAATATTATAACAACTATTGTTTTAGTGAGATGATCAATTCAATTACAGTATTTCATGAGTATAAGACTGCGTGGAACTCATAGAGACAGTATTGTGTAATAAGTGTACAGAACAGTAACGCCAGAAAGTGGAGTTGCCTGTATTATTTTAAGTGTAAGTATAAAAATTATAACAGATGACCTGATAAAACTGCTGATTTCAATTTAATTACCCTAAAAATGCTGATTGAATATGGATTTGTAGGTCATCCGACAATCATCCTGGGTCCAAAGGAAAAGTATGTTTTTCCTTTGAAACATGTTATAATCTGTGGCACTCAGTTTTAATTAAGGACACTTCAAACATGTCACACAAAGCAGCAAAGATTTGATCAAAAATTATCAACCCTCTTGGTAATTTACAAGTGTCATAGTTTTTACAGTTTGATAACTAATTAACAGCTCTTGGAGTGAAAGTATCGAGGCCTTTTATCGTGATGATGCCAAAAGATTAAAAAAGCATTTGTAAATGGAAAGAACATGTAAAGTCTCTGTTCAAAAGCCAGCTGATGTATTACATTATGTGTATACAGTATTCATGTTTGGCTGTGAGAGATATGGAGCGTATATGTGTGTGTGTGTGTGTATGTGTGTTCTTTAAGTCCGTTATTATTTTTTATAAAACTGAAAACTAAACCATGTGTATTATTTTTGAATTGCACTGTAGTATTCTTGCATTGTTGTGCCGATAGACTATTTATGTACATCTATCTTAGTCCAAGGAGCTGAGGCTTTTTAAACAATATTGTACTGTAATAGCAAAGCTAGCATTAGTCCATGTACTGCCCAAATCATGTGTAATGGTACTACAGTGTTTCTTTGTTTGTATTAAACCATTTCCATATAAGATATAAAAGTTTTTCATTTCAAATAATGTTTAATAACTGCCCTGTACAGTAGTGTGCATGTATAATGTTGGTGTTGACTGGCTGTATCACACGCCAACATACAAAGCTAAGATTAAAGACACCAGTGGAAGTTATTTGTGAATCCTTTACAGACACATAACAAATGTTTACTCATTATCTGGGAACATGTAATGAGTCAACAAGAGAACCATAGAATATTACCTACTGTCCCCCCACAACAAGTGCTTTGTGAAAGGCGCTAAATAAATAAAGAATACATACATACTTATTTAAAAACAATATATGTGATTATTTTCAAGAGAGTAATTGTTAATCTGGGTAATATTTTTTGCAGAACTGAATAGTGCCTTTCTCACACACTAGAAAAAAAAGTTTGCCAAACAGCAGCCACCCACTTTTTTCACAGTCGGAACATTTTCTAATTTAGAGCGACTGCATGTGTCTCCATGGTAATGATGAAAATAGTCTCATTAGTTTTGCCTTTTGCTACACTGGCAATAAAGAACAGGCAGCAGAATTATGTGTTATTGTAGAACTGGGCAAACTGCTCAAACTCTCCAAATAAGGCGTCTTCGGTCCCCACTATCTGCTGCTCTTGTAAGCAAACACTGCTATTTCCATCTCATCTTTGTCCAAACACATGGGCCTCTGATGAAAGACAGTAGCAGAAGATGGTTAGAGTAAAGTCCCACTTTATTATACAGATCAGAGTAATATATTAGTAATATAGATATCTGTGAAATCTACTACACTAGCTTTTATAAATGCCCCTTTTGCAAGTAGTTAGTGTCACAAAAGTGGGCTGTGACACGTCTCTGATGGGTCTGCCACCTGTTAGAGGCAAAAGAGAAGATGATTTGCTTTGTATGTACCACAAAACAAACATAACAAAAATAATAGGATTATTTTTTTTTTGCTCAAAAACTTCTTATCAGAGTGGTACAGATATGCCTCGTAACATAAGTGTGTAAGGCAGATTCTCTAATTATCTCATTTTGAATTTCGACTGTAAAAATGTAATTATACTTTCACACCAGATGGGGGGGCAGAACTGATGACACAAGACTCATAGGTGGAATTCCCCAAATTTTAAGAAAGAACCACCCTCTCCACTTTTTAAACAAATCTCTCTGGTCTTATTTGACGAGCACGTATCACCAGAATAATTGGCAATTGGGAGGACCAATAGTCCTGATGATGCACCCAGAAGTAGAAAACTCTCCTATAAATTCACTAACTCAAAAAGGATTAATTGCTAAATCAAAGTATATCCGTGTAATGTAATGTCATATGCCTAATATCTGTCAAAACATATTTCTGAGTGCGTTGGATACGTTTTAAACTAGTTAACTACATGGTTGCGCAACAGCTCATTCTTGGCGCCATCATTTACAATCAGGAAAAGTCAAACCTGACAGAAGCACTTAAATCTAGTTTTGTTATAATATCTGCATATATTTAGTGTAGACTCCACAAAAGTGCACATTTCCAGTTAATTTATTAAACTAATTAGATAAGTTAACTGACGTTGTTGCCTCAGTGTAAAAACCAAGAAGTAAAAACAGTCCCAACACCTATAGTTTCGGACATTTCCAGACATGTGCGTTGGTGACCACGCTTCAAACACGTGCAAAACCTCTTTTAAAATACAACAATGATACATCACCCAGATGTAGTCCAGGGCCAAAGGTATCAATCAAGTTGGAGATTGAAGCGAGTAATTTCAAAGATGAGCAGTGACATCTGCCGGCCAAAGGTTAGAATTACAAAAATAAAATTAAAAAGTCAGCGGGCTAGGTATCGGAGTTGGTATGTGTATGCAGATTGTATAAATTACACACACTTATCAAAATTATTTTTAATATTCTTCAGACACAATGCATCTGATTTACAAAAGTAATCACATTATATTAACAAAAATAAACATTTCTTGCTAAACCGATAAAGCTCAGGCACCTTAATGTCATGATTTCCTCCTAAAAACCTGCCATTAAAAAACTACTATAGAGTCACACCATTTAGGATCTGTGGAGCGGAAGGGGTTTTTCACAGCTGCAGAGGAGCCAGTCCAAAGAGGATTTCACTGATTGGAGAGAATGGCCACAATCCCTGTGTATGATCGATCTATTCAGTAATTTCAGTTTGCATCCTACAAGATAGGAAAATATTGCTTTGGTATTAACATTGTGGGAAATTGCTGAGTTTACCTATTCAATAGCATTGTGCAGCTTTGTAATTCATACCATAATGGACAGTGGTACAACAATATTATTTTAGGCAGTACATTTACCATAAAACTGCTTATTCCCGAATATAACAGTCCGCATAACCACAATAACAGCAAACCAAATATTATGAACGTCATAAAGTGTTATTCTAGCTTGGCTACAAACATGTTTTTTTTTTCTTTGTCAATAGCCCCATTTTGGAAACGATACATTTATGGGCGAAAAGTTAAAGCAAACAATAACATTTCATGGTTACATTACACAGCCACACAAACGCAACAAAAAGCAAACGCATAACAGAAATACATTCAAATCATGTGTATATATAATCTACAATAAATTCTCAAACAAAACTCCAATTCAATGTTGCTGCTCCCTTGGTTAAAACCTAAAATTGGAAATTGTCCCTACAGTCATGCCTTTGCATAATTAGATGCCCAAAATAAAATGGAGAAAACAGACTGGCGCAAAGTAACCAGTCATGGCAGGAGTCGAGTCTATTGTCCCCATTATTAGCTTTACTTTTGGCCCCAGTTTGGAGTTGTGCGTTTTCATCATGCTGCTGGTTTGGTCCGGCCCTCCCAGTACTTGTTGTAGGCTTTCTGGAACATATCCTTGCACTTGAGTTGTGCGTCGAGCTTGGAGCAGATGAGAAAGGATCCTCCCATCTTGCGGTGCAGGGAATATGTCTCCTCCGGGGGCGGGGTCAGCCTGTGTTTGAGCATGACAGGGATAAGGTTGTGGATGCGCTCGGTTGTGGACTGGGCCCCGAAGTGGAAGAACTTGCTGGAGTTAAAGGCCTCGCCCAAGATCATCACAGCATCAACATGAGCGTTTATCATTGGCTGCAGAGAAACACAAAGGCAAAATAAGTAATCATGGTTGATTGAAAGGAAAGGATTAGCGCAGTCCAAGGGTGGGACCCTTCATCATGACATCTCTATCAGAGACTTGTGAGTTATACACACCTTGTATTAGTATAATACACGAACTAAAGTATAGAAGTAATTCTTCCCAATGTAAGCCTTAGGAAATTCTCATTAAAGTATTTTGTACACTCTTTTTACAAAATGTTTCAAAAGACTACACTGTTAGGCAGTAGAATATTGTTTTTAAATCTCCTGCCACAACTGCAATTCAATAAAAACATTTTCATGGGTTAAAGTTGAAAAAATTCCTGAGCCTGAACCATCTATATGAATCATAGAATGATCACTAATAAGCGTTTTTTATAAGCGCCTTTATACGCTCATACATATAATTTATATCTATTTATTGCCAACAACTGATGTTTATTATAAACATCAGTTGTTGGCAATAAATACATCATCTGACTATTGAATTGTTACTTAAATGTAAAGCCTCACCTTGCCAAGACCTTTCTGCAAGTACCCCTAGTTTGGATTTGTGTGATAATGTAAAAAAAAAAAAAAAACATACCACATCACAGTAAGTGAATATACTATTTTCTTTTTTTTAATTATTATTGATGTTATTACTAACATTTTATGTGTAAACTGTAAACTGATTAAACATCCAAACTAGACATCAGATATGACATACAAAAACTAAAAACACTGGATCAGGCAACAAGAACACTTCCAGATTCAACCTTAAATATATAAATAAACCTTAACTTTTAAATTCTACTTATTAAACATTTAGCTTTCAACACAAATAAATGAAACTAAAGTGCAAATGAGCTTTGTGCTGTGTGTCTTCATAAAGCACCTGTGTTAACTTTCAATAGACTTTGATTTGGTAAAACATTACAAAACAACACAAATGCTAACAGTACTGTTTGAAATATTCATTTCTTTTTCTTTTGTTTAGGGTGTGAATTATCTGTATGCTTTCTTTTTAACATGTTGGGCGGAGGGTTTAATGAGGAGGCTACTTTGTCTGAACAATTAAATAGAGGGAAAAAACCGCATGGTCCAGAGGAGGAAGCAGCTGGTGCAGAGGAGAGTTGTCTGGCTGGTCCAGAGGAGGAGGCAGCTGGTGCAGAGGAGATTGTCTGGCTGGTCCAGAGGAGGAGGCAGCTGGTGCAGAGGAGAGTTGTCTGGCTGGTCCAGAGGAGGAGGCAGCTGGTGCAGAGGAGAGTTGTCTGGCTGGTCCAGAGGAGGAGGCAGCTGGTGGAGAGGAGGAGGCAGCTGGTGCAGAGGAGAGTTGTCTGACTGGTCCAGAGGAGGAGGCAGCTGGTGCAGAGGAGAGTTGTCTGGCTGGTGCGGTGGGGCTGCAGCCTTTTTATCATCTCCTCTGGACCAGCCAGACAACTCTCCTCTGCACCAGCTGCCTCCTCCTCTGGACCAGCCAGACAACTCTCCTCTGCACCAGCTGCCTCCTCCTCTGGACCAGCCAGACAACTCTCCTCTGCACCAGCTGCCTCCTCCTCTGGACCAGCCAGACAACTCTCCTCTGCACCAGCTGCCTCCTCCTCTGGACCAGCCAGACAACTCTCCTCTGCACCAGCTGCTTCCTCCTCTGGACCATGCGGTTTTTTCCCTCTATTTAATTGTTCAGACAAAGTAGCCTCCTCATTAAACCCTCCGCCCAACATGTTAAAAAGGACATTCAAAATTCTGTCCACATTTGTTTGTGGACACTCAATGTTTAAGAAAAAGGTTTCCCTATCAACTTGGTGCTAGTGCACAGCGCAGTTTTATCAACTGCAAATGATTAATGATAATTAAATCTACCAGCGGTAGTGATGGTTCTGAACGACAGGTTATTTTCTGCGATAAAGCCACAGATAGTTTTAGGTCACAGACACAGTCCACCAGAGCAAGCCTAGTCTCAGTTGTCGCTGAATCTGATGCACCAGGTAAAGAAGTGTGGGAAAGTGCACGGACAGCTGCCAAGTGCGCAGTTTTGAGCTGGTGGTGAATCCAAAGCTGTTTGATTTGTTTTCTCATTACTCCCATATAAAAAAATAATAATAGCGAAGTACGAACAAGCACCGGACATCTTCATCTTTTTGCACCATGAAGCAACAGAATCCCATCGTCTCCACCTCATCCAGCCATGCCCACCTCCATTTATTTTTCACTCCGTTATCAACAGCAACTTATACAGCTCCTTCTTCCATAAACAACGATCCATGATTGTGATTGTGCGTGAATGCTAGGCTAGCTTTGATGAATGAATATAAGACCTGCTAACACACACCTTTCTTCAGCGAGTTTCTTCCGTTCGCTCTCGTTGATTGGCTCTTTTTATCACGCAGTTTTGCATGGGGATCGCCACCAAGATATTATCAAAAGCTCACCAAGACATGCTTGTCCCCATTCCCAGTCACAGCAAAGTACATATTGTACATTCCGTTAAATAAAAAAGCATTGCGTTTGGTAAACGTTAATTATGTCCTACCTTTCCTCTGATAACGCACCCAGTTTACCGGTCTGCTGGCTGTTATTGCTCCGTTCGGGATTACATTTTCCTTGTCCTCTTCTCCTTTTCAAAAGCTCCGTGCACTTTTCAGAAACTTTCACCTCCGTGTTACCATCGCTAACTTGGCTACGTCCCATTGCCTTGAATCATTTACGGAGCGCTCATGTAGCTAGCCACGGCACGTTCAAGGCCCACTCGTGATTATATTACTTTTTATTTCTATATACATATAAATACAATTATATTCAAATTATTAATATATATCTAGATATATACAACAGATTCACACGTATTACTATATATTTTGTTATAATTAACCATTTCATTGTGTGTATTATATTATTATTATATATTTTGTTTTTTTTTCAGACCAATTTCATTTGACGGAAATCCGTCACTTAGACGGAACTCTTTAATCCCTTCGCTATACACATGCAATCCTTTCATACAATTGGTAGAACACACTTGAACCTTTTTCAAATGACAGCAATCATTATTTATTTATATATATATTAAAAAAAAAAAAAAAGTGATTTTTTTTTTTTTTTTTTCTCACGCCGGATTTCCGGCACGGTGCCGGAAAACTTTAAGCCCTGCATTTTGTTAAAAAAATAAATAAATAATTGCATTGTAATGCAATTGTGACTTTGGATCCGGTGAGTGAAGAGGGTGGGAATCAAACTTTTTGAGAGATGGGGGAAACCGGAGTATCCTGACATAACGTCTATAATCCTGGGGAAAACAAGCAAACTCCACAGACATTCTGTTCTTTTCAGTCCTTCTCTGTGGACTTTGCATGTCATGCTAAATGTTCAGTCCCATATCACTGTTCATTTATTCAAGAAATGTCTGACCTGTGTCATAAAGTCACAACTGAAATTAAATATTTGCGTTTTACAATCTGTAATCTAGCCAAGTTGTGGGTAAGGAAGTGTAAATATATCTTTTACATGCCTTGGATTCATATCCAGTCAAGAACTTCATATCTATAGATTTCTTCAGAACTCCTTCTCTGTCGCCTTCAGCAGCTGCTCGGATTACCTACAAACACAAATAGAAAAGTATTCTTAGCTTTTATCCAACTGTATAAAAGTCGTCCTGTAAATAACCCCTGCGATCAAAGAAGTGAGTGATATTGTTTGTACCTCAATGTAGACATCCGTGAAACTCTGATCAAATCCTCTTGTTGCACCGAAGTCCAACAGCGCCACCTGATGGACCACATGAAATATGTAAGCATATTCTTTAATCCTTTTAAAACCTCAGTGCTCCTTACCCTGTGTGTTTGTGGGTCATAAAAGAAGTTGGACCAGTTTGGGTCGGTTTGCATGTAGCGGAACTCAAAGAGCTCTCTGAGACACAACATCAAGATATTCTGACAGATCTAAAAAACAGAAAAAGACAAAAAAGAACTATTTAATTTTCATGATGTACCTTTTTCAGAAAGACAAAAGAAAAATAATACTGACATAATTATCATTATTATCTTATTCTTGCTGCATACTCCTAGATTGTATATTGACAACTAATGTATGGAACTAGTCCATACAGTTGACACTAGACTGTATGTTTGTGAAGGTTGGTCTTGAATTGATAAATCACCCTGATTTATTTTGGCATAAACACATTCATACCTCATTCTTTAGATCCTGGGAGAGAGTGTCCGCTTGATCCAGAGGAAAACCAGGGACGAGTTCAGTGGTGAGGACATGGCCACTGCTTAACTCATCGATCACATCCGGCACATAGAAGAATGAATCATCCTTTAGCAGCTCCCTATGTGAAAATGTTTTCATATTTATATTATCCTTCAACATTTAGCCCGCCTCTGGTATTTGAAGATTGGCAGCCAACTCACTTAAACTTCTTTGCACATTGGGCCTCTCTGATGTAGTCACACTCAAGTGTGAGCTCTTTTCTCATTACGTGAATAAGGTGATCTGGAAAGAGGCCTACAGAAAAACCAAAGGAAACGGAAGGTATTAGTCAGTTTCTTGTATATTTAAGTTGTGCGTTTGAAAAAGTGATTAGAAAATATTATCTTTGGAGGAAAAAATATTAATCATCTCTGCCCTCTCCAAGTGGGTGGAGAGGTCCTTCCTCAAGTGGAGGAGTTCAAGTATCTCGGGGTCTTGTTCACGAGTGAGGGAAGAATGGAGCGTGAGATTGACAGGCGGATCGGTGCAGCGTGCGCAGTGATGCGGTCGCTGTATTGGACCGTCGTGGTAAAGAGGGAGCTGAGCCGAAAGGCAAAGCTCTCGATTTACCGGTCAGTCTTCGTTCCCTCCCTCACCTATGGTCATAAGCTGTGGGTAATGACCGAAAGAACGGGATCGCGAATACAAGCGGTCGAAAAGAGCTTCCTCCGCAGAGTGGCTGGGCGCTCCCTTAGAGATCAGTCACGCGGGAGGAGCTCGGAGTAGAGCCGCTGCTCCTCCACACGTTGAGAGGAACCAGCTGAGGTGGCTCGGGCATCTATTCCGGATGCCTCCCGGACGCCTCCCTGGGAAGGTGATCCGGGGACGGGACTTCTGCCCCCGCGACCCGGCAACGGATAAAGCGGAAGAAAATGGAATGGAATGGAATCTCTAGGATTAAACTAGTAAAATTTAATAAGCTATTTGTACTTTACACCTGAAATATAGTCCCTGGCGCTAGATCATAGAGCAGCTTTCACGGGTTTATAGGGGACAGAAGAAGCGTCTGTACCTTCAGGCAGTGCGTTGCTCATGTGCAGAACTGTCATCAGGTTGTTGACATCGCTGTTGATACTTTGAGCTACACCAGGGTACTGAGGAAAAGCACACATTATTGGATGCAAAATAGTATGAATGGGCATCTATGCTGTAAAAGACAATGGTCACATAAGGGAATCCTTGATACAAATTATTCTACTTGTTGAAATTTGTTCTTAAGAATGAAATTACTTAGAATGAAGTATGTTGGTGATTAAAGTGAAAGATGTGTTTTTTCTATGAATGTATATTCCAATTTGACTTATTGTCTTATTTGTTCCCTATTGATGAGTATCAAAAAAACAACTTTCGCCAGGAAAATAGCTGAACAGGACATCAAACGCTAAATCACTAAAAAATTCTGATAAGACAAACATATTACAACAACGTTTGCATTGGGAGCGGAAACAAGGACAAGGGATGAACTGTAATTGATAGATAAAAAATAAATGTTGACATATTTAGGGAATAAAAGCAGCACTATGAAATATTTTCTGGAGTGGAATCTACCACCTGTCCTAGTCCATTGAGAGGTTAAAATTTTCTGAAAGCAGAGTTTTGAGTTGAGATCAAAACATCAAATGGCAGTTGTATAATAAATATAACATAAAATATAATTATATTTAAAGTACATTGTTAGCGTTGCTATTATTGTTCTCCATATCAGCAAACAGTTACTCTGGATAAGTGCATTAGACATAGATAGTAAACGCAAACACTTATTACCCCCATGTTTGAAGAGTGCTACAGAAAGTAATGGGAAATTCAAACAGGATTTTCTATTGTAAATAATGAGTGGCCCTGTCTGCAAAAGTAACTCCGAAAGTGGATTTGTAGTAAGGTTCTACTGTGCTGTTGGAACAATACCAGGAGGCTGAAATGTGAAACAACTCTTAATGAACTTTCGAGGACTACCACCAGATGGAGCACAAGTACCACCGGTGGAATATGAACCACAGCTTGAGAAACACTGGTGTACCTTGAACATAGCTCTTATCACATACCACCATGTCTGATCCGCAGCCACCATCGTTCAACAGTATTTACATTATCAACACTCATTTCCTTAGAGACAGATTGTACATACAACACACACACACACACACACACACACACACACACACACACACACACACACAAAAACACACACATATTTACCTGTATTTTCATGGCCACCTCTCTGCCGTCCTTCATACGGGCCAAATGAACCTGACCGATGGAAGCGGCTGCAAACGGACGCTCCTCGAATGCTTCTAGTTTGTCCCTCCAGTTTGGACCTAAGTCACTATTTAAGGCTTTCTGTAAATCATTCAAAACATGTTATCAATTCCTTTCTCTAACAATAACAGCATTTGTGATACTGGCAGTGAAAGACAAATGTAATATGCTCCACTCAGGTAAGCTGCTATGATGTAATCACAAAATTATTACAATGAAAACAAGGGATTTACCATCATTTGTTTGATAGGCATAAAGTCAGCACTCTGCCTCACGCGCTCAAAGATCTTGGCGAGTTGTGGGTTGATAAAAGCATCATCTGACAATGACAGTGACAATTAGAGCCAAACTAAAAAGTATTAAAAAGGTTCAACTTGAATCCTAACATGAAATGCTGAAATATCACTAAATTACTTTGTTCAATATTTGCAACGCAATGTTTCAAAGCAGAATTCATGCAAAAGAAACTCTTTGTGCTTTACATGAACGACTGTACGTACTGTTTATTATTTAAGATAAGGCAGTGGAGAGAGATTATTTCATTCCGTAGCTACAATAGTTGAAAGATGAATGTGAACTGCTTAGTAGCAATATAAGGACAGTCCTGTGGTTTATTATGAATTGTGGCTTTGCTATTCTTCTGATAAGCATTTGAGATTGTTGTTAGAGCAGAATGATTTACATGTCTCAGCACCTAGTATAAGAAGAGTATGTCCTTTGTCTACAGAGAGTATCTGACCTGATGTTTTAAGAAAAGGTTGGTGATATGTAGGTTTCTTTGAACCGGTGACAACACATAGGGGGGACAGTAGGTCAGGAAAACACTCAGCAGATTCTTTTTTGAGGTGGATGAAATGTGCTATGTGTGAACTTGGCTGTGAACTCAACTCATAAATGCTAAAAGAAGCAAAGGTCCTTGTTGAAGGTTGGAGTAGACAAACAAACATAGCAGTTTGTTTATGATGGTTATCCAACCCCACACTAAGCAAACAGGTTCCCTGCCACGGATAAAACTTATTCAACTTTAACCTCCACTAAATCTGCACCCTGTGCAGATACAATATGATTAAAGGAAATGGTTCCATCTTTACATTGTTAAGTTGTTAAACATAATTGTACTAACTCTGATCAGCTCACCTTGAATGCTTAGCATTTGTCCCAGCTTTAATGCTGCTCCTCTGACTTTACAAAGTGTTCGTACGATGCGTTCAGCATTGGCCTCAGAGAGGAAGGGACTTGAATCCAAAACTGCTTTCTTGTGTTCACCTTCTGCACCTATAAACAAATATAATTATATAATTGTAATATTTTGAATGTACCCTGTCAATAGGATAATCCATAGACAATAAATCATCATGCAAGCATAAATATGAGATGGACTATGTGTGTCAGTAGGCCATGAAGTTGGCAGAGTTTGGGCCGTCTTCGGTCGTAAACACAGACAAGCACACCTCAGAACTCTCTAACATCAGTTTGTGGATCTGGAACTGTCAATACTGGTGCAAAAAAGAGGTTTCTCAATAGATGATCTGTTTTGAACAACATGAGGTCTATTCTAGTAACCTAGTACCGAAAGACGTATATATCTTTGGAATTATTGTCTTTCCGGCTCACCCCCTCCCTGACCCTGCCCCCCTCTGACAGCCACACTCCGCAGTCGGAGGTGCTCATCCCGAGAAAAAAATCTGTGGTTTATACAAAGCACAATGTGTCTATCCCATTGCCTGTGATACTGTATGTTATTGCTCTCTGCTGTTTCTTGCTTGCACACTGCGCCGCAAATGGCTAAGTGGCACGCTCTCTGCCAAAACAATTTCCAAGTGGTAACTTTTTGTTACTTACGTGGCAATAAAAATGATTCGGATTCGGAATCTGAGTGATTCTATCTATGCCAAATATGACATGTAAATGTCTCCCTTGTGAGATCAATAAAGTCTATCTTATCTTATGTTTATTGATCTGTATTTTAATGTGCGAGTTAGTAACCTGAACTTTTTATTTGAACTGAATGTGAATATGCAAGTTATATGATTGTATTGTCCAGAACTACTGGTGGGAAGTAGCATGGTTCTAAATCTGGTGCAGCCATGTTTTTAATGCAACTGCACATTGTCTTTAATAACTTAAACTGAAATTTAAACATGCAAACTAAACTAAATAACAATCGTTTTTGTTACATACCATTTAGTCGAATGGTCTTTTTGGCCACTTCTGCCAGAGCTCCAAGGCCCAAACCAACAGCCAATCCTGCAAATAAATTAACAAACTAATGCATTACAAAACCCAACCACAGCGTTTATTCACCTTCACATGCTGCCATTGTGTCCATGAGCAACACACAGACCCACCAAGCCTGTGTAAGAGTGTGGCTCCAGAGGACACTTATGCAAATGTTGGAGAAAACCCAGGACCTTCACTTTGTTTTGTGCACCAAGGCCCTTGATCTCATGGATAAGACACCTTTTAGCACCCATTTTACAAAACATTGAACACAATATTGAAAGTTGGACCCAAATTCTTCAAATGTACAATGCAACATTTCCATGTGAAGCTGCCAAACAAAACGTCTCCCCTAAATGAATTAGGTCAGGACTACTTATATTTAGATACATTAAGACTCTGCTTTCTGTTTATTTTTACATGATAGGGGCAGAGAGTAACAAATATTTACAAAAGAGAAGATATGCTCAATATTGTTTTTTGGCTTGGTGCCATGGATGCCATTTATTGTTATATCAAAAGAAGAGAAGCTGAAAAACTCAGTTCTCACTAAAAATAACACTACACTTAATATCCAATTCACTAATGGAAGATACATGACAGCTGCCATCAAAACAATCCAGCTTCTTTTGTGGCATCAGTGAGAGTTATAAAAAAACCTTCAAATTATCACCCATAAGACCAGAAACATTTCAAGTGCTTGTATTTCAAATGATCTAAACTTGGATGATAACACTGTCATCTAATCTCAATCTAATTGCCATTGTTAAAGAATATAATCCATGCAGATTTGAATAGACACAAACAAGGGGAAGGGTCTGTTTTTGTAGGACTTCCTCCAAGTCAAATTATATAACTGAGTCTTACATAACAACTTCGCTTGCTGAGACAGAGGCTGAACCATCACCAAGGAACAAGAGACCACGCTAACTGAGCTAAAAGCCAACAACAATAAGCAGTGGAAACTATACGTTCAGACGCTGTAGGAAAAATTGTTTTTGACTCACTGTCTTCTTCCTCAGAGTCTCCTCATGACTCTGAAGAAACTAGAATGAATAATTCAGAAAGAAATTCCTCTCTCAATACTGTGGCATTGGCCAATAAAAATAAAAGTTTTAGAACAAATTACCTCAATGATTAAGTCTTTTTACAGTAGACTGATTTTCCATTGACTACTTCTCCACGACTAATGAGAATGTTGGAAAGGTACAATCCATGGGACTGCAGGCAAAAATAGCAGAAGCTAAATCTTGAAATGATCCTCTTTACCTTCATGACGTTGTGATAAAACTAAATCATTGTTACATTAAGAGATTAAGATTGAGAGAAATCCTATAATTGTACCACAGTGGGGACATTTCATAATATTTAGATAATAAGTTATTATTAGATATTTAACAATAACATATCCCTACAATAAATATATTGTATATTTGCTATGGTTACTGAGGATTTCTTGATACTGTACAAGAAATGTGCTGTTTATTCAAGACAAGGTGTGTTAAAGTTCAGGCGGCTGTAAGTGACAGAAATATTATCCTGGACAAGCACATGTGTCTGTCAATCATTGACCGTGCAAGCTCTGTTTACAACAACAGTACAACATACAGGTGAGGCCTTCAGGGACTGTTCGTCAACACTCAAATAATGTTTATTGATGCAAAACAGGGAGAAAAATGCATATATATATATACACACAGTACAAAATATCTAGAAAGGAAAACGTTTAAACCAAATGAACAACCTAATGAACTGCTCAAACATGTCATTGGCTCCTGACCCACATAACACTCAATGTTACACCTTTCAACACGGTGAATTTATTGCACCTCAGAATCTGTTGCATGTAAAACCACCACACAATATTGCTGCGTAGGACTGAGGTAGCACTTTTACCCCTCGGACAGAAGACGCTGTCCTGAGCTTATGTTACGACCTTGCCATGTGTTTGTAGGTGCTTTGAATCACTTCCCGCCACCTGCTCACGTATCCATCACCAATGTCACAAGTTTTGCATCTTTAGAGAGATAACATGAAGTCTTGTCTGTCATCTGGTTTCCCTACATCAGTGCTAAATGACTGGAATAAGACTTTGACTCTATGCAGGCCAGGTTGTGCGATGCATCACATGTCCATAATGTAATTTACAAAACCAAATAGAAAAACGTGTGTACAAGCTTTTGCCTGATATAGAAAACAAGTCAGTGCTTTATACCACGTCCGTACATCAGAGGCCCTGCAGGCTCCGATCACACAGCAGATGAAGTTAGCGATCAGCTGAATACATTTTCTTTGAGCAAAAATGCACAGGATTGGAGTAAGTGGGTATGTGATGGTGGTGGTAGCTAGAGGAACCAGGGAGTGAGAAATAGCATCTCAGGAGTAGAAGTAGGAGAATAAAAATGACTCAAACATGCAGGAATCACTCTCAAATCAACTTTGACAAGTCACTTTGTCAAAGTTGAGAAAGCTGAGAAAAGTTGATTTTGCGTGTCTCTTTTAATAAAATGTTTTCTTCAATAACAAAACATGTACCTCCAAAGTTGGCAAGTCGTCCAAGTCGGGTCACAGGCACTTTCCTCTCTCTGGCACGCTCACTCAACTATAAGAAAAATATGCACATTTAATTCTTTAATCTTTTTATTTACATTTTTTAAAAGACACAAAGGAGCATCACCATTTGTTTGTGTGGTTTAGCCTCTGCCCTCTTGCTCTGCCTGGCTTTCTCAATGTCTTCTGCCGTTAGACCTCCCACTGTGGACGGGTCCTGGTGATAGGTCCTGAGCTGCCGGATCGAATGCTGGCACAACATCTGTCCCCACAGATGTCTTTGGGTGTACAAATTATGGGTTGGCAAAAAGTGCCTCCTGTGAATCACTGATCATTAGTTTTCCCAAAATCAGTATTACATGCAAACGATAAATTATTACACAAACCCTGAGTCGAGGTGGTAGGATCTGGTTTGATCTGTGAACTGCTTTGACGGATCTTTATATCCTTCAAAAATTGAGTGTTTCCCGTTAACATGGCTTTCTCCTACGGCTGCTTCCTCTTCACCACTTCCAGAATGCCCGGTCGTAAACTCTCCGCCTTCTTCCCTGAACTCTGAGGCCTGAAACATCCCATCATCCTCAGGAAAATCAAACTCTGAGGCTGGAGGTGAGGTTTTCTGACCAGTGATTTCCTATGAGATAACAAAAATGCATTGAATTATATTGCCACTTTCAATTGTTTAATCATCTTTCAAATAAATCTTGTTATATAGCCCTAAATCACAGCAGTAGTAGTCTCAAAGGACTTTACAAAGTTGACAAAGTTGTCGATGGGCAAGCACAGACCATTGAATCAAACAGTGCAGACATGGAAGTGCAATGCAGTTTAATTGATACTAAAATAGTAAAAGTAAATTACAGGAAAATATTGTTGGACAATAATATTAGGAGTCAATATTATTCATTAAACAATCTACTTTTTCATGTTCTTTAACATTTGAAGCCTATTTAGTGACGCAAGCAATGTATGAATTTCTATTGTGGTAGAGGTAGACTGTCGCCCGGGGCACAGGAAAGAATTTGGACACAGCTCTATCAGCTGTTATTTATGTTTATGTGAACAACAGAGACACAAGAAGATGCAGAAAATGAAAGGGACTTATGTGATTAGGGTTGTTAATCTACTCCAGTTTTAGTAGCTATAGGCCGCACGTGTATTGTCAAAAAAGATTGGTAAAGGAACCTTGGAAGATTTCAGGGTTTATGTTATTTACAAAGCTTTGATCATACTACAACTTACAACATCATCAAATCATGTCGTTTCCAGTTACAACAGACGTCTAGCAGCTTTGTTTAGCTCTTTCAGCTTTTAAGTCTTATACTACAACTTGAAAACCTGCCGTTTATATTCAAGCAAACAAATGAGGACAAATTCTTTTAAAATTTAGCTTGTGCTCTTTGTATACAGATGTGCTTAATAGTCCAGGAAATACAGTATGTTATTGGATTGAAAAATGAGTGCATCAACAACTCATCAATCAATAAAGTGATCTTCAACATCCTTCAACACAAATTGTCCAAATAGTTTTTTTAAAGCTGGTTCAACTGACCTGCATCTTCATCATGGCAGCAGACAAACCCTGTTCAGCAGCAAACTGGACGGTCTCCACTGCTGCTCCAACTGCTGGCACTGCTCATATCAATGTAGACATTATTGTATAACTATTAATGAACTCATGATGTAAAATGAATGAAATCCTACCGGCTCCACTGCGTATGGCATTGGTTTGATTCTCTACAACGGCTTGGCTTAACTTGGCCAAGCCTCGCATCAACAGCATCATATCAGTCGCCATGGTGGACTAAAAGCAAAAGAATAAAACGTTATTAATAAAATATGTGGTCATACGTTGCAGACTGTGAACTTTAAGAGCAAAACACATAAAAATAATAGTAATAATTATTTCTTTGTCATGTCCAAACTATCAGATAAGTCTGTGTCTGATGATTTAGTTCATGATAGAGCAACAAAAAGTCAATTAAATCCAGCAGAGTCATGTTAAGATGATTATACTTCTATATATATCTCTTGACCTCTATTCTGGGAACATCAAAACAGCAGAGAATCCAGAGCATGGCGGTCTTCTGTCAAGGCTCGAGTATGTGACCAACGCAGATCTGATAACACTGGAAACTTGTGGAGTGGGAGAGGGTATTTCTGCGCACGTGTTAGGCTCCTGTCACACTTCTGGCACCGTGATGCACCCCACTCTAATACTGTGCTTAGAAACTGTCATCCTTATATTTGACTTTATCGACTTCTTTCCAAGAATAAATGTTTTATCACCAGCAGAGATGGTCTTTATGAAACTCTACTTGTATGAGGTATCCATTGTACAGTTTTAGAAAATATATAAATAGTGGGGACGGCATCTGGATGGTTCCTTGATCCCCATAAAATGTGTCCTCTGCATTTGACTCATGCGTCAATCTTTCTGGAGCAGCTTGTCAAGAGCCGGTGGAATTCCAGATATTTATCAAAACTTAGTCATACCAAGATATAGCTTTAAGATTTTAAACATATTCCACAGCACAAAAATATAGCCATATCACACAGTTAGGTTTTTCTTTGGCTGATGCCAGTCTCCAAAGTATGACTGGTGATGGCTATTCTAAATGGTTGATTTAAAAAAAAAAAAGGCCATGAATTAATAGGGTTGGTGCGATTGCTAATTAACCACTACTGTAGGTCATTTTTACAAGCTAATACATATCTTTATTATATACATATGTTTATTCAAAAAAGATAAATGAAAAAAATTATACAACACAAAAATAACCATTTAAGTTGATAATGTTCTTTCTCTCTTCAGACGCCAAATGAAAAGTGTCACAGGTCCACCTGCTCATCAGAAGCATATACAACAATGAAACGACTTAAACACCATGTGTCTTTGTTGTCGTTTGTGGGTGTGTCTGCAAGCTTCAACGTGCTCTGCAAAGACTTGAGCCAGAGGGAGAAATAGCACAGCTCTGCTTTAGAAATATGTGCTAAAATCCACATCTACACAATGAGGCTCAAACTGGGTCAGCTGCTTTCATTTCAGCAAACAGGTATAGTCTAAATATTGCACAATGGACACAAGTCACTAAATACTTGATTTCCAGTAAAAATCATTCAAGTTAAAAGTTTTGTTTTATTTCCTTCCAGTGTGTTCGATCACAAAGCAAAAGTGCACGTGTGAGCCCTGTTTATATGCACACCCATGATGTTATGTACTGAAATCTACAAAGTCAACAACAGTGGATAAAAACAGTATATACAAAGTCTCTGCCTCTGTTGAAAGAAATGTTGAAGCAATTGAGCAATGCCAACTTCCCTTTTGTCTGTCATTGTGGGGGCGTGGACACCTTTGCACAAGAGTGACACCAATGTAATAATCATAGATGTTTGTGCCAGAAGTTCCTGATCTTAACATAGCTGGATCTGTGACTGATGAGGAACAATGTGACATGGTTAAAAGAGAGATAAATTTGATTGAGCGTAATGTGTCTCCTTTAAAGGAAAAGAATACTTTTGCCCACTGAGCGACAAATAAAGGTTATCTTAAAGACTATCAAATTCTAGCTAATTGTTTCAATCACAATAAGTGAAAAGAAAAAGAAGTATGAAACAATTGAGTGGTTTGATATCTGCACCAAAACAAAATACTGCTTTCAAGCCTCGGGATCGACTCTTTGGTATTAATGGTTCAACAATAAATAATGAGTAAACCTTGATTTTGCTCAAAGATTATTTTATAGATCATAATCTGCTGCACCTTTGAAAAGACTACTCATATATTTGTATATATGTATGTTTGTATTGCATGTATATATCAGGCCTATCATGACAGTCTTCATAAGTGTTATAAAATAATAATTTGGTAATAGACAAAGATGGAGGAGGTGATGAGCCCTTTGTTATTGTGAGGTATTAAACAGTGCCTGAATAAACGGTACTGAGCTTCAGCTGTTTGGGATCTACAACAGCACACCGTTGACTCATGGCATTGAAAATAGATGCATTGACCCTCTGTGCAGTGTCTATATCTGTGTGAAGGCTATAGCGGTCAAAGCAAGTCACACCTTACTGTTCCAACTTTTATTCTCCACTGCCATATAAATATGACACAATCTGGAATCTCCTGATCTGTAGATAATAACAATAAAATAATAAAACGTATTTGTTATGCATTCCTGCTGACTGTGAAAATCACCAACATTTAACCTTCAAATGCAGTAGAATGCATGCCGGGTCAAGTTTGGATTAGTGTTTTGAATAATCTACAGCTTGTTTAGACATGTAGGTGGACTCAATTGTAGATTTAGAAAATGTGTGGGTGTTCAGCTATATACAAACAATTAAGCAATATAAACTTGCATAGGAGATTAAACTGCGCAAGCGCTACATCTAGATAAGGGACTGATGCCAAAACCAACCAGTCCAAAAAGAACATACTGTAACTCATGTACTGGAGAACACATATGCTACACAAACTACTTCTTATCTCTTATCTAAAACACAATAAGCTTTAGTGCAAGAAAGCATGTAGTGTCCACGGTCCAGCAGCTTCCATGCACAAAAGCACTTCTTGTGTGTGAGTTTATCATGGAGTTTTGCAGATTCAGAAGCAACTCAATAAAGTGTGGCGCGGATGTGTTTGACAACTTTTGCAATTCATTTGTTGAGATAAATCTTCCTCCTACGAAGATGCCACGTTGTAGCAGTTGTAGTCCATTGATCTTACCCACATAACTGGCTTCTTATGCTATGCGTGAAGTGGAGAAGTGTGCAGGACACTATAGTCGATAAAGAAGTAAGGTTCTGACAGGTTACTACAAAGTTACTGTCAGGGAACGATCCACGCACGGTGTACACGTTACACTGGGTTTTCAAGGGCAAGACGAATGGAAGGAATACCGTAAATAATATTCAATAATGATGTTTACTCACCAACCACCAGCAAAAGCGAAGAGCAGCGATGTCACTCTGGGACGTCTGCAGTCAGAAGCACATGGACTAGCTACACCGACTGAAGCTTCAGGTTAATATACACAGGGCATAGTGCACAGAGTAATCTGCGGGCTCACACTTCTCCTGAGGCTGTAGACAGCCCGTAATCCAGTTTGTGTCCCTTTACAGTCTGCTGCTACACGAGGTCAACTCTATTTACCAACTCCACAGCTCTTCAGCTCTTCAGCTCTGCAGGGCTGCGCAGACTCACTGCGCAGACTCACTGCGTACTACAGTCAGGAAATGACTCAACAAATACGTCTATGAACAAGTACACAAAAAATACTCGAGTGTAACAGTTATGACTGTTACTTTCGTAAATAGGGTTTGGTTAGGTGATCCGTGACCTTCTTTATTTTCCTCGCCCAGATCTTTCCTCACGGCCTTGTTGTTGCCCGTGGTCCCGCCCCCGGGCTCTCTCTAGTGGCCCAGGCGCACGCTGACAGGAGGCAGGACCTGGGGCCAGGCCTCTCATTGGTCTGTCATTGTTCACTTGAGGCTTGGCCTCATTTTTGGACGCCTTCACTGACTGTACACACCACGGTTCTCAAAGCAGTCTTTTGTACAGGATAACTGGATTCGTAAAGGGGCTAAATAGGTGTGCGTGTCCCCCTGCTGGGCATATCTGTAAAGCGCTCTTCCTCACTGCCAATTCTAACTGCTTTGACTTCAGATCGCTTTGATTTTCTGCTACAATGAAGACATCATTTATAGGGGACATGAAAGAGTTTGCAACAGTCTTAAATCTCTTATTTATCTCCTTCCGAGTTTCATGTCAAGATTAGTCAACTCAAATGTGAGTAAAATGAACTGACAGCAGAGGGCGCTAGATATCTAATTTAGTGGCATATAATCATAGAACCTCCAAAACTGAACAAAATATGTTTTCACTAGTAACAATAGATAACTCAAAGAGTAGATTTTATATCAATATTGCTTTGTTATTCACAATTGAACTTTACCATATATATGATCAACTATTTATGTATTGTAAAATAAATTTCTTCTTGCCAAAATCAAACTCAATAAACGGCATAACAAAAAAGCTCATAATCTTCTAACAACAACCACCACCAACACCACCACAGACTCCTTGATCAATTAGTTCTTCCTGCCACAACGACCCGGTCCGGATAATGGGGCTGCAATGTTGTTGTGAATCAGTGTGATTTGAATGGCAAATAACCTCATGATGCAAATAAAACCATTAGTGTGGTCAAGACACACGGGCTGTTTGGGATTTCAAGACTTGACTTTGATAGACTGACCAGATTTCCAAAATAAAATGAATGTTTTTTGTTAGTAATCTTCAAGCATAGTTTTCACTATTTTGAATAAACGATTGACAACATAGTTCATCCTTGTCTTAGGCCTTTTACAATGTTATTTTCAAATGCATCAGTGTGCATATAACTATTGCTAATACATAAATAAACATTAAGCACTGATTTTAAACAGCATTTTTACTGTCAATGCAGAAAACATGCTCACTATTCACATTGTAACAGTCCATATTTGTCACAGAAATGTTTGTCTAAAAACACAACATGTTATAAATAGACTATACTACAAATTTAAGACATATTTTCTGGTATAATAAACATGCACTTAGATAAGACCAACCAGCAAGAATAAACAAGTAGGGAAAAAAGTAACATATTTTCAGTTTCTTTACTTGGCTTCGCATTGACAAGGCACTGAATAGCTTAAATAACATTGTTCATGGCTGTGTGAGTGTTCCATTCCAAGTCTAAGAAACAAAACCAAACTGTAACTATTGTACAATGTGAACAATTAAAAAAATGTGTACAAAAAAAGTGGACTTGATTTAAAAGTAGACTTCAGCTCATTACAGTGGATGTAAAGGGAATAGATAAAAGTTTTCCGCTTTAAAACTCAACTTAAAACCCAGACCAGAGGAAATGCCACTAGGTACTGGTAGTAAAATTTAAGGGCCATTCGGAGTCAGCAAATTTGGGATACTGCAAATGCAAAGACAAGTTGTAGCTAAAAATAGGGGGGGGGAAATAATTAGTAATAAAATAAAGATATTTTCAATGTTAATAATATTGTTTTGATAATAAAATAGATTTCAATGAAAGAAACTATAATAATAATTTATCTTGCTCAGAACCATACATGCAGGAACTGTAGGCAAGTTGAATCTCTTTTGCACATTAGCTTACTGATGAAGATAAATACATCTTTTTTATTTTCTGCCAAAAAGTCTCTGCACCTGAACTGTCCTATCAAGACCAGATGTAATGTATTTTGGGCATCAAAAAATACGTTTTATGGATAGGAGCCAAAAGTCAGACATAATGGAAAAAAGACTGCATCCAAGAATGGCCATTGGTTATTCATAGGATGATATGTGAATATTTCCCACACAAAAATGTCTAGAGAGAAGCCCTTTCCTTGAGTCCAACTTGTCTCAAGGCAAAAGTGAGGGATTAGTGGAAGAGGTTGCGAAGTGTTCTCTTAATAAAATAAAATAACAAAACCCTACTCTTCATGTCTCACTGTCCACCATATTTGAAAAGATGTCCACCAAACTATCAAGTCCAGACAAGTAGCCGTCTTCTCTGTTCCCCTCCTGCCACGTTGTGCGATGATTGAGCTCGTCTCCATCGCGAAGAGGCGTAGTTTTGCCAAAATCGATCATCCACACTTTGGCACGTCCTTTACTGTCGTGAACGAACAACAGCGAGCTGCCGATGACCTGAGAAAGACAAAATATAATATAATAATGTATGTAAGGCTGTTTAAGGGGCTGTCGTGAGAATTAATAATGCAATCCACTTGGTGGGGTTCAGCTAGAAACAGTACAAACTCTGTGTTATACGTATGAATACTTAGTTTGGTATCTACTTTTATTTAAACAAACATTTGGTCAGAAATTGTCACATATGATTCGTACATGAAAGAAACTATACATACACATACTGTAATATACATACTTTATTGAATAAAAAACCTGCACCAAAGCCACTAGTAATAATTATCAAACCTCGGAGCCCCACTAGATGTATTAGTCACAGTCTGATATCTGATATGCAACAACAATGATAGTATTTTCCAAAAGACAAAGTGCAAGTCGCTCTTACTTCCTGTTTTCTTTTAGCTGCTGTGTCTAATAAGTCGTTTGTCTAAGTGTGAAACTAAATGTGCGGCCAAAGCTTCTGTCCACTGACGCAACTTCTTTCAGGCACAAATCTGTGGGCTTTCAATGGACACTATGTTCTGTCTATAATAAAGTATTTCACGCGTATCATCACTTGCAATAGGAACCATAACTTATGTAAAAGAATTTGTTCTTACCTCATGTGCTTTGAAAAACGAAGAGGTCTCTAGCGTGTCTCTGATTTCTTTAAGCCGTTCGAGATAAAGTTTCTGAAGAAAAGAAAGGCAAATTTCAAGGAGAGTTGTTATGTTTACCAAAACTACTTGAATTATATAATGGAGGGTAATTAAAGATAGAGAATGTGAAGTGTATCTATTTTGTTCCAACAGAAAGAGTCTTGTTAAAACTACAATTATATTATTTAAAACATTTAATCTTTTACAAACTGAGAGCAGTCTGAGAGAGGTTGGTCCTTTCTGTTTAAAAAAAAAAGTATGAAATCTAGTGATAAAACCAAAGCAAACCGGTTTGAAAGCGAGGAACTAGTTATATGGATTATTATTACATACAGTAGTTACTTTTGTGCTTTCAAAGTCACTCCAGGTTTAAGCACAATTAAACGTTCCAACCTGAGTAATTACCTAGCTAAAAATAATATAAAAGAAAAAAATAGTGACGCAACACCTCTATACTGTTACGCAAGTACGTGTTTGTGTATTTTGTGAACGAGCGAGGAGTTCCCAAGGACTTCCCTTTTCTTCAGTCTCAGCAAAGGGAAGGTCACAGCCACGTGTCTGTGTTCACACTCTAATCTGCAAACACTCACCAGAATGTCTTTATTTCCCTTGACGAAGTCGTGGAAGGCCACAGTCACTTGCTCCCTCGTTTTTGTCTTCTTGAAGTCTCTGTTAACCGTGCCGTCCTCTTTCTGAACATGGAAATATACAAATATGTTAGCATACAAGTTAATATCATAGGCCAGAGTTTAGGAAAAGCATTGTAAGACAGGAACTTTGTGATTCATGCGGGTATCAAATATGCACAAGTATTTTTTCTAAGACCACTTACACGGTTTACATGAATGTTCTCAATTATGGCATTAATAGGCTCTATATCTATATATACAGGTAAAAATCAGAAAATCGATTCAACTTTAAATGAGAAACTCATTACATCTGTTTTATTTGGGCTTTATACAAACTATGATCCATAATTTTAAACATTATAATAAATTAAGGCTTGATATATCTCGTGAACTTAGTCTTGCCATAATAGTTTCACATTTTAAGGTAAATTAGTAGAAGTAAACAGACTTTTAAACAATATTTTACATTTTCTGAATTACATCAGTAAAGGTTTGAGATAAAAGTTTCGTTCTTTACTGTGGGAAAATCCAGGTAAAGTGGATGAATAGATACATCATGCAAGCAAAAAAAGACATTGAGTAGATGAGTAAACAATAGAGAGGGGTAAGTTTGAGCAGGAAAGCTATTTTTAGCAGATTAGTCCAACAGCTTTTAATAGTTTTTTTTTGGCTTGGGTTTTTAAGAATTGAAGAATATATCCATGTGTGTTGAAATACTTCTATCCTACAGAATGCGCTGGAATCTCAACTTCACAATGTCCCTTACTAGTTTATGAGTTAAATTTTTTCAGGTCCAGGCTGCGGCATGTTGTAAAATATAATACTGGGCAATAATGAATATATGGTAAATTAATAGTATCAAAAAGCATCTCGAATCCTAATATGTGGAAGTCATTTGAGACATTGAGAGGGATTGGTGTCATCTGTGTATTTCATGTGTATGTAAGTAACTGTCTAAATTATTATTGTTTTTTTGTGAAAATTATGAACACTGGTTTTAAAATAAATACTAAAACAACACATTATCCTATTCCAATACATTACATAAGCCACAATGGTAAAGTTATAAGTTGAAAAGCCTTGTATAATTGATTCTCTCGCTGCCAGGCAACACTGTACTATTTACAGAAATATTCCCGCCTAATCAAGAAAAATAGCAACAACTTTCTGTTTTACAGAGGAAGCTTCCAGAATAAACTCCCTTTGAAAGCATTATCTACAAATCTAGTAAATCCAATAAAGCAGTGCACAGAGCTCAGATGTGTTGAATTTATTTGTGTTTTTGGGGAAAGCCCTCAGTGCCATGGCAACAGACCAGCGGGAAGCCGAGGATGTCCTTATTTGGCCATGACCTTTACATACAACTAGAGAGAGGAGCCCGTTCAGGAGTTACTGAATATCTGTTGTGTCAGAGCCAGATGCTGGGGCCTGAAGAGCTGCCATGCACAGACGTTACCAGGAAAAAAGGGCCCTTGCACAAACATTTCTTAGCAGGAAGTTGCCGATCAAAACAGGAAGTGAAGTCATGGTCAATGAAGGACAACAACACTCAAGTAGAAGAAAAGAAGGAAGGAAACGCATTATGGCCCTAGTCCTACCTTGACACCTTCTATCCTGAAACCCAAAGTGGCTGTGGAGCTGATAGTTTCTCTCCACTGCATGTATCTGGGCTTGGTCACTGCTTTCTGGTCCCGTTCTTCCGTTGTAGGGGCAGAAGGGTCCACCTCAACCATTTTCTGATACATATCCGGTCTTGGGGTCGGCTTTTTGCGAGCTTTGGTCAGCTCCTCCTCAAGGTACGTCCTAAAACGGAGGATCGAGGGCAAATGTTAGGACATGATACATTGGCTTATACAGTAGGCAAAAAAAGCTGTTATGTTTGAGAAAAGAGTAATGCCACATCAACAACAATCATCATTTATAAAATCATGCTACACACAGCCACTGACACTGTTTGTTTTGATTGAAATTTTTTAATATTTTTTTTCTGAGATACATGGTAGTCTGCTGCTATGACTGCACTGTGCTGTGATGATGGCAGGTGAGATTCAGTATTTGGAGAAGGGCTTGTTTCTTTAAATGACCCTTTAGGTGCCAAAGCAGCAGAATTGCATTATGAGCTCCTGATACAGTGACCTTGCTTCCCACAAACCTTTCCCTAAATGTTTCTGTCATCTTTTTCTTTCATTCATTTCTGTTATTGATTTTAGTATTATTCTATCTCTCATAAAGCCGTGTAATAATGAGTGTTATAGATTACACGTATATTCCTATTTTACTTTCAGCCACGATAGGCGTAAAGAGGCTGAGGAAGATTATAATATTGGCTCTCGAAGAATGCCAGAAAGTGGTCCACAACACCTCCTCTGATGTTTTTTTTCTCACCTCACGCCCATCTTGCAGTCCATGACACACGGGCAGTCAAACTCTGCCAACAAATCCTCCATCTGGTTGTACTTCTGACCGTCCTTCTCCACATCGCCATGGTAACCAGGCACGTAAGGCCGCAGCACGTCCTTCATGAGGAGGGACAGGCAGCGCTGCTCGCAGTCACAGTGTTTCTGTAAGGGGAGAGATATTATGCTTATTTCTCAACATCAAACATGCAAATGATGAGGTCCATGTTGTAGCAATACAGTGAATTGTTATAGGAAGCAGAGAGGAAAGGTCCGAGGCACTCTGACTAAACTTAAAAATCCTTCATTGTGGAAGGGACACAGAAACGCATTTCCCACAAATCCTTGAAGAGGACCACCTGACTTCTCACCTTTACCTTGCATTAAATGTTTTCTATCTCTGTATGCACTTTTGTGTTTTTTCATGAATTGTTATATTCAGTTACTTTTGACACTACCCAGCACTGGTGGTAATAGACTGAAATGAATAGAAGGCCAAGTAGATATGTGTCAAGAGGCATGAGACTGGAAGTGTAATTGGAGGTAGATTTCTCATCAGACAGGAACCAGTAGTAGCCGGAGCAGTAGAAGTTGTATTACAATACTCATAATTGTATATTGTAACTGCATCACTAAACTGGTAAAGCAGACCTCAGCTAACAGGTGCAGTTCCTTAACTCAGACAGCAATCCAGATTGTCCCATTCCAGATATTTAGAGAACATTTTATCATAAAGATTGCCAAATAGCCAAATAATAAAGAATCCCAGAGGAAAACATAAACCTTGATGTAGTCTTTTAAATCACTAATTTAAGAGACTAATTATTACTTTGAAGAAATCTGCTGTATTGGAAAAAACAGGACTGTTTGATCAGACCGACTAACTATAGTTTGAAAGTGACTTACTTTTAATATCCGACCATTGGCTCCAGCCTTGAAGCTCCCTGAGGGGAAAAAACAAAATCACATCGTGAAACACACCTTGAGAAAAATGCACATGTTGTTTGCTACATGTGAAACCAATTGGTGTTTTCATTAAATGTTTTTGAAGAAGAGAAATGTAATGCCATGAAGGACATTTCAGACAAGCAACAACAAGTGGGTTATAGTTTTTGCCTAAATCTTTTAGTAGACACAAGAATCTTATAAACATGCAGGATATTGGAGTATTTCAGATCATTTCGTGTTTGTTTGCCTGTTATAATAAGGGTGTGTTCTGAAACTATGAGGAATGCAAGAGTGCTCCATGTACCTGCATGCCCCGCCAGCTGTATCCAAGGATACTTCTTCTTAAAGGACATGACAAAGGGCGACCAGTGGACCATGTTTTTAATTTTTTTCCAGGATTTGTGCTGAAAAAACAGAAAGTGAAAAGATGATTAGTAGCTGTTGTCAACCTTTGTCAATAAGAGTCTAAGTTTAATTTAAGTGCACAGCAGGTTTAGATATCACTCAAGAAACCAGCACCTGTAATTTAAGTTCCCATTCTAAAGCCTTTGACTGATCCAGCACTTTCTTACTGCTTTGTTTAAAAAGGCCTTGAGCGAAGCACAAGTTTAAATGTAGCTAACAACACGCACACAGAGGCATCCCATCAGCCATTGCTCTCCAGTCGCACTCCCACTATGCAGCCTTTATTTTTAGACATTTTAAGCCATTGTTGTACTGGGGGTTCCCTTGGTAACGCATGCAATCAGATGGTGTTTTTCTCCACTCAAGGCTTTCCCCTTCACACATGCACCATTGTGTGTGTGTGTGTGTGTTCACATGATCATCATCATATGTACATTTGTTATTAACATGAGTTTTTATAGCTTTGAAAAACATGTTTTGGAGATTCTTAATTAACTCAATGTGCAAGTTGTACATGGTGGCCCAGGAACGTACAAGGACAGGAGAACTTTTGCTGAGAAGAATGGGCAGCTTACCATCAGAGAGGAGAGGAGAAAAAAAAGTGAAATTGTTTAAAATATGGCATGATACATATCCGCAGTAAAGAGTTGAAAAGTTGGCTAATGTTATTGTTACTTTGTTGTTGTTCAAGTCTAACTTCATTACTGGGCTTCTCCATATACATGGCTATCATCTCATCGGCTTTAAGTAAGTCCAATATTATAATACATTTCCGCAATATATCATGCATCAACATTGCTACGGTGGTACAGGTCTAAGGAAAATATAAATACAATTAAATGTAGAAATAGCTATTTAGTATAAAGTCTTTCCATTGTCTATTGTACCCACACGCTTCTAAGTTAATGTAGTAAACCCCAATCCGTCTGATTCGGACCAAGACTTTGGTTCAAACCCAGAAAAGCCCATTACATCAGATGGAAACATTCCAAAGGCCTTATAATGTGGGCTCAGACAAAGCTCAGCTGTGTAACAATGTCAGTTCTTAGAGTTCCCACAGTAGCTTTTAAAGAAACAAGTCCATCAGTTTGTCTTTGTATACTTTTATTTAAACATTTTTGAATGGGTTTCCCTTTATAGACCCCGACCTCTCTGGACAACTTAAACTCACAGACAGTTTTACGCTAAATCATGAAGCCATTTTTCTATTTTTAAGACTGTCATGATCTCACAAAGGATTTCCCCTGTCTGCTCAATCTAAGAGGGATAATATTATGTATAAATAGTTAAATAAATGAAGAGGGGATTGAAGAAGAGGGAAGACTGGAAAATGAGGATGATAAGAGAGAAGGTCCATAGAAGGCACTCTTAATCCATGACTATGTATGGAACAACGCTTTTTTGGGGGTCAATTTTGTCTGAACCAATGAAGGAGAGAGTTGGGGAAATATTATGCCAAGAAAAACTACAACACACGTGTACAGGTCACATGATGGAAACTCTGGCGTAGGTCAGCTTTGGAAGACTTTGTAAGGTTAAATAAGAACGCCAAGAAGTATAAACACAGAAATGAAAATACCTAGTTTCCATGTACATGTAAGATAAAAAGTCAAAGGATCACATTCAGTTTTGGGGAAAAGCCAAGAGTTGGACAGTGGTCATTTATCTCGTGTAGCTCACTTAATCCCACACGCCTGGTTACTATCGAGCGTGAGTAATTATAATAGTATGTCACAAGCTTAGCAGGAGCAGGCTTGGAAAGAGATACAAGACAATATTAAAAATGAGAGCTGTAATAAGACAACTCCATAAATGTAACCCTAAAAGATAAGATGTCAAACATTAGTAAACAGAGAATAAATCGCCTCCAAAGCAGCTTTATATGGGATATGGAGGAATGCGGAGAACAGCCTGGGACCGATGTGTATATTATGACAACTTTTAAAACACCACAGATCTTGTAATAATAGTTTAAGAGGTGGGATTCTCTGCTTCCCAACGCGGTTAATAATAATGATAATAATGATATAGACTTTTTAAAACACTCCAAAAAAGTTAAAACCATTGAACAATTGCTATTATTATTTAACGTCATGTTGTGGTAGACTACTGCATTTCCAAGGAAACAGGAGGAGACCTTCAATCAGATTTCAAGAATGAGTCAGGTTACTGGAGATGCAAGCTCGGCAAATCATTTTAGACATTATCTCAGACAACAAATGTACGTACTGATGCTTTAAAAGGCCAAAAACTGTACTCTGATTTATTATATGTAATTGTAACTGTAAGCTTATTGGTCCTGGAAATGTGTGTGTCTATAAAATCGATTTTACATTAATTAAAATTGTGTTTAAAGTCAGACATGAATAAGTCATAAAATTAATAAATACTAAAATATGCAATCCACCATCCAACAAATCCCACATAAGGACCATAGCAATAAAGTCAAAATGTGGGAAAACAGTATTAATTTAGCATTATATCAGTATTTCACTCAAAACTCTGACATTCTATTATAACGTTGAGTAAATTATGAATACTTTATTTTGAGCCATGGCAAACAAGAACAAAGAACAACAACAACAACAAACTATAAAAAGAAAGAATAGAAAGAAAGATAATATACAAATATACAGTATGTGTTGTTTTATTGTGTCATTGAGTTACAATTTATTTAGGTAGAAAGACACTTTTGAATATAGCCTAATAACAAAGTTATTCTACGCAAATTCCTGGAGCTGAGCGTACCTGACTCGTACGAATCACGGCGACAATTAAAATCGCTCCGAGCGACGCCACCACGCTCCACACGACACACAGCCATGAAGACCACATCGCAAAACATTTGAATTTCCACAAAAAAAAATCCAAACGGACCCAACCCGGCTGAGACCTGCAAGTCTCTCTGCTCAACCAGAACGATGCCTCTCCAGTCTTTGCAATGTTTTGGACGCACTTTTCACTGATAATAAATGATTGTGGCTGATTTGGATGGCAAAACGCGAGGGCAAACATAATCTGGGTAGGCAAATCTGTGCTGGGGTCAGACGGGAGGAGATCACTTTGTTGTGCAAGCTTCACGTTTGAAGTAAGAAGTGCACATGGCCGATGCAAAGTTACAATCGGGCTTTGTTTGGAAAGTATTAGAGGCGAAGTAATGCTAGCCGTCGGTGCGGATTGGTGTCAAAAGTTGCAACACAACTTATAAAAGAGTAAACAAATGGAAATATTGTAAGCTTCCACAAGAGCTGATGCAATGACCCCGAAGCCACAGTGACGCAGGGAGTTTGTGCTGCATCTTTGAACAGATTTTCACCAGTGCTTACTTGTTTAATGCGACATCATACAAAACCTATGAAGAAAACAAAATTGCTCAAGTTTGTGAGAAAAAATAAAGCATGCAATCGTATCTCACAGTGACAGGACCCGAGATTACAACAAAGTAAGTTCAGGCGTTCAAGCGCATTATAAGACAGGTTTGGACAAATATAATTATCTTTGTCCAAACCTGTCTTATTGAGTTGTGTCTTTTAAGTTGAATCAAAAACACATTATAATGTGTTTTTGATTCTACAGGTGAAACTTGGAAAATTAGAATATCGTTCAAAAGGTCATTTATTTCTGTAATTTGACTTAATAGGCAAATCCAATATTATTTATATTCGTTACATACAAAGTGACATATGCCAAGTCTTTGTTTATTAGTTCATTTTCAAAATAATCCAGATTATCTAGCTTGACAAAACAAGCTAAAAAAAATCATACAGGGCATTAAAACATAAATAATCACAGTACGTTTGAAAGAGTGAAGATATAATCCTTCAGTTGTGTGCACAGCTGGGGGTTTTTACAAGCTATGATCCATTTATCTACATTATAACAAATAAAGGCTTGATAGGCCACACTTTGCGTGTAATGAGTCTATCATAAATTAGTTTTCAAGTTGAATTAAGTTACAGAAGTAAATGGAATTTTTAACAACATTATTTTTTTTCTTTTTGTCATGACAACTCTCTGCAGCCAAATCTCAACTCCACACAACAAAAGCAAGCATTTTTGGTCCTTGAACATTTGCATAATTGATTAATTGAGTATAATTTCGAAAAGGACACAACAACATTAAGCTCAAAGACATGTTCTGCACCAGATTAAAGCCAAGGCAGATTTCCACCTGCAGTCCCCGGTTAAATATAATACTGTTCATTGGCTCTGCCGCAGGTAATGTAATCCCCAGGTATGGTTGGTCAGTTTTTTTGTTGTTTCTTTACATGCAGAGGGTATATGTCACATGTGGCTATTTATTGCTAAAATGTTAACTTATTTTTTCCTGCTATATTGTTAATGTGTATAATTCCATCAAATTAGGCAGACTGAAAAGATAGACTTCACATACTTTTTTCTTTTACAAATATGTTTTCAACAAAAAAAATTTGCTTATTTCTATATTCAAAATAATAAAACTTTATTAACCCACAATGAATCCCTAGTATATAGTGTATAATCCATTAGTTTTGTGTTGCAACATTTGAAACCCCAACAGCATTTTGGGAAAAAGGAATAGTTCAACCGATCATTGACTTAAAACCCAAAACAGCTGTAGAACAAGCAGCAGTAAAGTTTCCATTGAGAGTGAGAGACCTCAGGCCAGAGAGAGAGTGAGAGCAGAGGAACCTCGCGCAGGAAATGGGACGTGGAGGGGGGGGGGGGGGGGGGGGGGGGGGGGGGTGCCGCTCGCATCAACGACAGTATTTTCCATTTCCGCACCGGGCTGATTACAAACAAGACAAAAGAGAAAAAACAACTGTCCTCCGTAAACAACTGCACTCGATGAGGTCTCTTATAACTTCTGACTTGAGCTTATGGATAATAACTTCAAATTATGTTAAAATGCATATATATGCCAACAGAACAAACACAGAAAAATGTTGTGAACGGATCTGCCCACAAGTTTTCTTTATCTGTTTAGAAAACGTCTTATCTTTTACACACTGTGAGCCCT